TCATATTTGGAGTACTGGAAACAGTTCCTTTTGGGCATTTCTCGCCGTGTACTCACGACTCATCGAGTCGCAGTCGCATTCACAGGCAGTTGCTTTTTAACTAATTACCGTTGCGCCATTCACCTTGAGCCGCCCGTCGCTCCCAACACCCAAAACCGTATTTTCCCACCTCTGAAAACTCTTTTCGTACCCTTTTCTCAAAGGCTGCAGTGAATTTGCAGTGAGCACAACGCTAGAATCAGTTTTGCTGTCTATGTAGCTTCTTTGCCAAATTACAAGTTTTGCTTATTATTTTTGTATTATTTGTTGAAGCTGAAAACATTTTCTAGGGTATTTGGTCTGCGGTATCCGTTCGCCGGCGTTTTTGCACAAATAATTTAGACAGCGAAAGTAATCGGCAACGAGTTGGTTTAGAGGCTCGGACTGATGGACAGATGGGAAAATTTAAATGAACTTGGGCAAAATAAAAAACCACTCGTACGTGAGGCCAATGTACGGTACCAAAATTCCCCACCGCTGCTTTTTTTCGAAAGAAACTCTAAGACTTCATCGTGTGATGGTGGTGGGGTGGGGGGAGTGGCGCTGGGACCACCATTTCCACCAACAGCTGTTGCCAATGACCCCCAGGAATCTAAGAAGTCGCATTACACTCGGCCTTTATGGGGACCATTTCCCAATTAACTGATGCGCAGGGTGGGCATTTCGTCTGGTTGGTAAGAAATACGACTTGGGTTACACTCCTACGCCTACAACTGAAACGAAAAACGGTGACGCCAAATTGTGATGAATTCATTCCAAATACACTTGTATTTCGCAGCTTGATAGCTGAGAGTTATGAAATGATGAGTACTGTCTGCAAAGCCTGGATGGTTTACTCACAGCTTTTAGCTATACAATGTAAAATATAATCTTGTATTCAAATCTCAAAACTGCAAGTGCCAGTCACTGTGACTGCTTAACCTTTGGCTTATTTACTCTTGGCTCCCATTCGGCGACACTTAGTTTTTTTCTTCTTTTTTTTTTTGTCACCCCCTGCGAACTATCCCTTTGAACGATAATTACATGTCGTCTTAGGCGCGCGAAGGGGTTGGGAAATGGAAAATGGGAATTGGGGACGGGAAAATTGAGATGGGGTGGTGGACGGAGGGGGCGGCGGACGGCATGGAGGTTTGACTGGCAAAGTGTTAGTTACATTCTGGCCAGCAGCACGTAATTTGCTGATTTTGAATTTCGCCAGGCGACGGCAGCAAATGAAATGCTCCTCATTCTGCATTTTAATGCGCCCCAGACTGACAGCCATGGGCGGGGAGTTTTTTTTTTCTTTTTTTTTAGGGGGATGGCGGCGGGCAAAGGGAGGAGGTCTTGATCCCTTTCGCTTTGCATTTTGTTATATTTTTATTTCACTTTATTTCTCCCCGCAGTTTTCCTGCTACTTCTTTTTTGGAGGGCTAAACTAAACTATTTGTTGCTGCCGCTGCTGTCAACTTCAGGGGCAGGGGAGCCGGGGGACTTTGAGTCAGCATCCCCGTTAGTGAAGGCCCCTCCTCCTCCTCCTCCTCCTCCTGCCCCCACACACCCCACACCCTTTTTTTGGCTGGAACATATTTGCACTGTCTGGCAATTTTTAAGCAATTTCAGCATGACTTGGGTGGGACATTTTCCCCTTTTTCCCCTTTTCCGCTGCCGCACGCCTGGAAATGCTGCATCCTGTTTAAATGTTTTCCCTTTCCATGGCATCTTTTTACAGCCAGGCGAAAAAAAAGAAAAAAATGGAAAATAAAAGTAGGAAGAGGAGGGTGCAGGTCGCGTCGTTGAAATTAAAAATAAATTTCACAGTAAACACACATAAAAAGAGACGCTGCCATTGGCCTCTTCTGTACTGAAGGGGAGTCTGGATGGATAGATGGGGATTAGATGCAAAGAAACTCAATCGTTGCAAGTCCTCGGGAAATTTATCAAATCACTTTATTCGCCAAGCGATGCTGACTAACTTTTTTTCATTTAGCTTATGCCCCAAAACCTAAAGTGTAAATTGTATTAAATAGATTTAAAATCAGTTTAATATACTTAGCTCACATTTCAGAAAATTGAGAAAACTTGTTCAGGGGACCAGGCTATTGGGTTGGTCGAAAATTCCCCGGCTTTCCAGGGTATTGGTTTCAAAAAAGGCAAAAACACGGGAATTTCCAGGGGAACACGGCGCAGTGCAAAAAAAAAAAGGAAAAGAAAAGAACAGCCGGACGTTCAAAAATAGTTCGAGGAGTCTGCAAAAATCCCCGGGGGAAGGACGACGCCTCTAGGAGATTGGCGGTGTCTTTCTGCCCTTGAATCCGAGAATTCCGGAGAAGCGGGAGCGGAAAAGCGTGCCAAAGTACCAAAGCTGTACGGGAGTTGAGAGTGGAAATGGAGATGAGGATGAGGTGGGGGTACGGAAAACAGGAATACGGGATGTGGACTTCGGATCGGAGGTAGGGGACTTTTAACTTACACGTCTGAGTGCTTATATTTAGCTGCCTGGCAACAATGATGGAAAATCCAAAATAGGGACGGCACTGAATGTCTGCATCTGCAGTTGCCATGGTGAGTTTCTCCCTCCTGCCCCTTTTCCACACCCTAATGAGCAGCCAAAACTGTCAACTAAGACAGGGATAAACAGAACAGAAGGTATACAATTTTGATTTGATACAATGCTATGGTAATAGGTCTTGAATTCAAGATAAAACAAGATAGAATGCTATAGTCGAGTTCCCCGACTGTCAGATACCCGTTACTCAGCTAGTAGAAGTGCAAACGAGAAATTTCAATATTTTCTGGAATATCGGTAGGAATTTGGGAAAAAATAATAAAATTTAAAGAAACTTTAAAATTTCTTTACAGTGTGGACGTGAGAGTTTTGTGCGTTTTGTGGGCGTTAGAGTGGGCGTGGCAACATTTGGAACTTGCGCTGTGTCTATGTCTCTAGAAGCTGCATGCTTAGTCTCAACATTCTAGTTGTTACAGTTTATACGGACGGACATAGCCAGATCGTCTCGGCTATTGATCCTGATCAAAAATATATATACTTTATATTGTCGGAAACGCTGTCTTCTGCCTGGTTACATACTTTTCAACGAATCTAGTACACCCCTTTACTCTACGAGTAAGGGGTATAAGTACTTCAAAACGTTAGTAACTGTAGCTTAGGATTATCCATTATCTCATATATTCATGAAATGAAACCCACAAATTAGCGGAAACAAATTTGTTTTTTGGTTAAAAAGGGTGTACCTTGATAAGGAGCTATCTGAAATATTTAAGGACAAAGCTTGTGCATGCATTTCAATTTTATTGTTATTGTAGTGTTTCAAAATACTGAAATTCCAACAAATCCTATCTCGCTGATGGAATTTATGGGATCTGGCTATGATCTTTCTTATCGAAAAAAGGCTTTTTGTTATGATTGGGGTTTATAAACAATTTTGGACTACGCATATTGTATGTACGACAAGTAGAGGAAATGCCCTAACTATCCAACGTTCGGCTTATCTGACGCCTTTGTGTAAATTTAGAGCGCAAGGCATTGATATTCCCATACGGCGGCCATAAATTACACGACAATTACTTGGGGAACCGAAGAAAATCAGCGGTGCTTGGAAAAATCCCCCCATCGAAAAGGAGAGGGCAAGAAATCCGAGGAAAGAGGCGCGAAAAGAGAGAGCGGTAAATTGGAAGAGAGCCGACACTTCATCACTCCCTCGAATTTTCCGATTTTCCGGCGATGCCTCCCTCACACGCGTAGTTTAAATTGCGTTCGCAGCAATCGTGCCATAAATTTCCCCCCGAAACTTGTTTATTTTGGTCTCTGCATGTCTCCAGTGCCGAAATCTTCCCATCCAACAGTCCATCTTCATTTGGTATCTGGTATCTGTGTATATTTTGTATCCCAGTATCTCGTGGAACGCACAGCTTGTGTATTGATTCAATTATGGGAAAACTTAGAATCAACTCATCATGCAGTCGATTGATTAACAAGTCGCACCTAGTAAAATGGCTCCCACAGAGTTTGAGTTTTCAACTGAGCTTGGTTTTATAAGTGTGACATTTGAAATATTCTTAATCCAACTGAATTATAGATAGACAACAGAAAACGAAGCAATGTTGGCACCTACAAAAAAAAAGCCTGCTTAATCTTAAAATTAAGTAAATTGAACGTTAAATAAATAGCGAAATAAAAGTAGCAGTTTAAAAAACACATCAAACACTTCTCAGTGTGGTTCCCATGGGACTTCCTTCGTTTTGTCAAGCCAGAGATTTCGAGTTTTTACTCAAATTGGTCGGAAGAGGACCATATGTCGCTCTTCACAGCCCTTCTGGCATTCCACAAACCGAAGAAAGACTGCAGATTTCTACCAAAACGGGAAGAATTGTGGGTGCGAAGAGGGAGGAGAAATGGAGAACAGCTGCTGTACCGACAGCATTGACCTCTTGACGGCCAATTCTCCTACTTTATCTCAATCTGCAGCGTTTAAAGGGCTTATACTTTATGTGATCTTTTTTTTGTGTTTTATCTTCTCCGGCAACAGTTGGTGGTCCACACTTTTGGCGGAAGGTGGCGCTGCTAACAGCAAATCAGGGTGCAATTAAGGCCAAAAGCCAGATGGCCGAAAATCGTGGCACATCGGCCGGCTATATTCCCAAATTTGCTTGCACGGAAAAAAATGTATAGCAAAGACGATATATTCGTATAAATTATTTATAATATAATTTATGCATTGCATATGCGGTTGGCAAAACGTTTAGTATAGTTATGTATATACCAATTTATTAAAATTGTGGAAACTTAAAAAACACATTGGTAATCCCAAAATGATCAAAACGAATACTGAGTAAAACAGAGGTTGCATCGAGCCGCGCTGTTAGCCCTGTTGCATGCTGTTAGAGCCTGAAACACCACTTGCAACATCCTCGAACATGTTGCGTCGCTTTGTTTTGTTTGAGGACAGGCCGCGCCGGCCGAAGAAGTCGGATTTTCGGATCGAGTTCGCACTTCGTTCCGTTCGCTCGTACCGTTCGCTTCGCAGCGGCGGAAACTCCGTACTATCGATAGCTGGTATCTCATTGATACTTTTCGAGACCCCGAAGACGAGAACTCGCATATTCGCCCGAGAAAACTCTTAGTAAATGCTTATTAAACCGATATATAATTAAACATATTTTTTTTTGGTGCAAACGTAAGCCAAACAAATTGCATTTTGGTGTGGATTACCAGTGGAAAAGTGAGTGCTTAAAATGGAATAAACAAGGCTATCATACAAAAAAAAAACAAAGCCCAAAAAACCAAAACAAGCTGAAAATTGTCAACCCAACGATTATGGATTAGTGCCAGTGGCCGGTCAGAGTCAGTTAAAAAAATATATGCATATATTAGGACTAAGGAGCCCGAATTGATTAACAAACAGTGTGAGTAAAAAAGTTCAACAGTAAAATCTCAAGAAAACTCCTGTGTTTTGGCTTTTTTCATGCGCCAACTGCAACAGCTGCTCCCTCACTTTGACCTTTTCGTTTGATTTTGTTTATAATATACTGTTAGCCAAGTCCCCGCCTCTCTTGGCCCCTTTAAAGTTTCGCTTTTGGCCACTTTGGCATTTTGATTTCGAATTTGCTAGTGTTTTTTTTTTTTTTTTTTTTTTCCTGAGAAAATAGGGCTTTCAATTGAAAATGGAAGCAAGATTTTTGATTGCAAACTGTGTTGAGGAATATTTATATTATAATTTCAGCTTCATGAAATGGCCAATGGCAATAACTAGTTGCTCAAAATTTAAGTATGTGTCTCTTTACTAGTTGAAATACCATCTTTCTAATAAGGATGGATCATAGAATCTAAAAATTATGTTTCTTATAAAAAACCTAAGTTGAGTTAATTTATTTAATTCACTGTGTTATACCCAAACACCTTAAGTCTTTCAATTGGATATTTACTTTCCCCTTTTCAATAATAGATCTTCAACTCCAGACCTTGGACACCTAATTAGCTTCTTCTGAGCATTCTTCCCCAGAGCATCTGTAGAAAAAAGTGCTCTGCTTAACTGATTCGATCTTTTCTTTTCTTGGTTTTGCATGATTTATGATTTCAAACAATAAGTTTGGAAAACAAAATGTAAGAAGCAAGCCAACGATTAGGCATTTCGTGAGCACTTATGTTGAAAAATTAATATTAAATGTATAGAATAATTTTTTGTTGTTGTATACAAGTATGTACACAAACAAAAAATCTACTTGAATATGCTAAACAATGCTAAAATTATTCTGAACAATTTACGGCATACGATAAACTATAATAAATATAACATTCAACTTCAAGTTTTAATCTACATAATAGGCAATGTATATTAAATGTGCGCTTTGCCGTTATTCTTAAATGCGCATGTTTATTTATAACATACTTATACTTATGTTTTATGTGTGTCGTTTACGGATTAACATACATTTGGTTGTTATGTTAATAAATTCGCAAATACATTTAATACTTTTTCTCATTGATTAAATTGAAAGCGAGCACTTCGTCTATCTTATTCACATTACATTAAAAATTCCTAAATCAAATAATAAATCCATTCGGGATTTATTTTTGTTTTATAAATTCTTTTTTTCTGTGTAACTCCCTCCAGCTGTTAACGAAGAAAATGTTGCTAGCGGCTTTGGTGTTAAAGACACAAATGCGAGTTCAAGAAGCTGAAGGCCCAGAAGCTTTACCAATACGTCGATGCAGTGCACACAGATACTCACACACCTGCAGATACATATAGAAGCGTATCTTCAGACTCACGCACCTGTCCCTTGTCATTAAAAAAGCAAGCAAAGTTTCAATCTTCTTTGGCAAGCTCACCTTTTACTTACTCTACTGCTGCCTCTGCTTTCATATATGTCGCATGATAAACACAGGAAAAATATTGATTGGCTGCGAGATTTGCTTAAATACGATTAGCAAAACTAATCTCAGAAAGCATTGGCTCTTGACCAGAAAATGTATTGATTTTTTAGATGATTTCAATGACTTGTTGTTTTCATATTTATTATTCCTATAAGAAGCTCATATGATTACATTTTGAATAACGTTATTACGTTTTTTGTTTGAAAACAAGAAGTTTTTAAAGTGTATTTGAGAACGTGAGTGTGTGTAGCCTTTGGATTTTATAATTTGGCCCAATTTGCTGGCATTGCAAATTGCTAAAAACGTCTGAAACAATCGACAGGAGGAAAATGGGGAAGTGTGGGGAAAAGGATGGCAGAAGAGGCGTTCAGAAGGCGTGGCAGGAAGTGCAACATGCTCATGTCGCAAGTTGTTGTTGCCTGTATTTCTCCTGCACTTTTTGTTGCTGTGTTATCGATTGGCGAGGCCGCATTTGTTGGATCGTTTTGACGCGTCCTCGTCAGCATGTCGAAACTTATTTTTCCTTTTCAATTTCGCCCTGCGATTTTGCATTTTTTTTTTTTTTCGCCTGCCTGTCGCTTTGTTAGTTCTTTGCATGCCACAAATTATGTTCGTCACCCCCTTTCTGCCCCAATCCCTCTGGATTACCTTGAGAGCGGAGCTGTCAGACATTTTGACAGTTTCTGCCGTATCGGTTCCACCGATTTGACTGCTGCGCTCATCATTTTTGCCCCTTTTTTGTTCAAGATATGGCTCCGTTTAATGAATAATTGGTATTTTACATCATTTAGGCAGTATAAGAAAATACTTATTGCCTGGCATTTGCATCTGCCAGCTAATTTCTCATCTCATCTCTAAAAAGAAATGCAGACGAGGGCATTCGAAAGGCAAGCAATTTATCCCTTGGTTAATTTGGTTAATTGAAGACAATTGAGGGCCGCTTTGCAGTTCATTAAGCCTCATCAGCGTTGAGAAATGGGGCCCAGAATCCAGAACTTAGTACTCAGAATCCCAGATCCAGTTTCATTTTCATCTATACTTTCCATCTCCGGATCTGTTGTCTTGTCGCCAGAGTAATTAAAATATTTGCACTCAAATGCTTAAGCAATAAATATTTGTCAAGCCATCATCATTAGTTGCGTGGAGAGGGGCAGGGGGTTGCTTCTGACCTCAAAACATGGCACTCCACTTTTATGGGGAGGGGGGCAAAATGGAAATGGAAAATGAAAATCTATGAGAGGCGGCATTTTTAAAGTGCGCCACTTTGGCCTGCATTTTTGATGAGCTTTAATGGCGCCGCCTTAATGCAAGTGAAGCATGCCAGGGGATGGGTGTGCGGATCGGTTTGGGGGGTTGGAACACACCCCGCTTTCCCCCTCACCCCACCACTCTTAGCCCATCGAGAATGCCAATTAATAGTCATTGATGGGAAAAGTTGGACCACGAGTGGAAAGGCAGGGAAACTGAAGTGTGCCATCGCCTTGAAAAGGCTAAAAAGGGGGTGGGAAAAATTGCAGGAAAAATATCCCCCTAGAGTGGGAGTTAAAATTGGAAAACGGGCCGCCATGTGTGATTCCATTCCCTTGACTTTTCGGTGGTTGGCAAGCGGCCCAAAATGGAAAACGAAGCGAAAAGACCCGAGAAATTCGTATCTCAAATGGGGACAAACATCAAATTAGTCTAAAAATGAAAGAGGGTGATTTACAGGGAGGGGAAACATTCAAAGACTGAACTCAAATGGGCATAAAATTTCCTTATTGTCGGACAACAGTCGGAATAAGAAAACTAAGTCCGAAAATGTATGAGCCATATGGCCCAAAAACGAGAGTAGAATTTGAAAAATACGATTTTTTTTTTGGGGGTGAAGAAGGTAAAACGGAAGCTGTCAATAGTTCGATGAATAAACAGGTCTCGGATGGGAAGTTCAAAATTATGTCAAGCCTAATTACGCTTTATTATATAAATATATAATATTAATTTTGTTACTTTCCTTATATTATCTAGAGAATTTTATTGTAAACTCTTAAATTGCATATTTCCAAATGATACTTAACACTAATTAACCTAATCCGTAGTTCTTCTGAGTGCTCGCAAAATCCCCCAGGTTTAAACCTTGCTCTAAGGACCATTTTTATCAGCAATTGAACGCGACGCGAGCTGGAAGAAAAAAGCGCTCAGAAATTGAGAGAACTTATGAAAATGTTTTACAATATCCTTTTCGTGTTATTACAAGTGTACGTCCTTGTCGCCAGCTTTGTCAGAATGTCTGGCAACGCTACTTGTGCACATTTCCTCCCCCGAAACTCCCCCCGAATTTTCCGCCTTCCGCCGCTTCTCCCCCAGATTTTCACCCGCTAAGCGCCTTCTTTGGATAGAACATCTTCACTCCTTTGGGGCGTCGTCAAGTTCGCGCTGCGTTTGAATATGTCATTACTCGTTTGGCCCCCGCATTTCCCCAACAATGTTGACGCGTTGTCGTCTCCATTCGCCCACTTATCCACCCGCTGGCCCAGCACACCACCGCACCACCGCACCACCGCACCACCATGTCACCATCTCACTCCAATCTACCGACGTGTGGGTGGGTGGTGGTGCTGGTTTCCTTTTCTTGGCCCTGACTCCGCTTGGCCCGACTGACGGAAGTGACAGTTGAACATTCATTCATTCATTCATTCGCTCGCCGGCTCATTCATTCAGCCCGTACTCAGCTAAAAATCCACCCAAAAAGCAACCCGCGGAAGGGGAAAAATCAAGCCAGGCACCCGGCGACCGGGAACCATAAAGAAAAAGCAAGGCAGCGGCAAAAAAAGTACAAGAACCTACGAAATTTCTATGGCAATTTGGGCAGCAACGTGAAAAATATTCAGAGATGCTACCGTGATGAGTTTATTGAATAGAATTACTATAATCGCGAGTTCTTAAGCATCTTCTGTGCACAATTAACTGATTGGCTATGATAGGACATTCATTACAATCATTCGTCACTTGTTTAAGCATCGAGAACTCAAAATGTATCATAAAAATGTGTACAGTAAATTAGGGAAATATATAAAAAGTTGTTGTCTGAAGTTTTACCATTTAATTTTTAAATGTATCTATACTTCCATTAAGTGATATCGCAGTTTTCTTAATTTCTTGCTCTATTCACGCTGCCATCTCGAATGGGAAAGAAGTAACCATGTGCGATGTCTTCGTCTCCGACTTTTGGGCGGAAACACAACGCAATGACTGAACGGAAGTTTTTTGGAAGCGCATAAAATTATTATGGAGTCGTCCTGCACGGTCTCCCCTCGCTCCCTTCCTCTACTCGCCGTCTTCAATCCGTATCTGTATCTGAATATATATACGTATATGTATATCTTTTTGCCTTCGAGGACGTGGCGCGTCAATTGAGAATTCGAGTCTAGGACCTTAGCCTCCACTGGCACTTCATAGTCCTGCCGCAGTCAGCTTTTTTTATGGCTCTCCTTTTTCCTTTGTGAATTCACTTTAGTTTGCTGTCCGGGCTATCTCTATCTCTGTCTCTGTCTCCTTTCCTTTCTGCCGTATTATTTTTATGCGCAAATTTAATATTTACATTTAGCCAAGTGGATTTCGGGCTATCGTTGGCTCTGTTCCGGGCATTTTTATCAACTGACAACTTCTGACCGCAGAATGTTCCCGTCCACGCTGATTCTCAGATGTATCTGCAAGATAAACAAGAACAGGGCAAGAAGCAGCCGGAATAAAATGGCATTTAGATAAGCCCGAAAACTTTGGACAAGGCTCAAAGGTGGGGGGCTCTACTTCTACTGCTTCTACATGTGAAATACTTGCGGTCTACAAGATTAAAATTCCGGAGCGATGATAGCGGGATGATGATGATGGTCAAGGAATGGGAGCGGACTTTTGCAAAGATCTTGGGAAAATCCCGTCAGGAATATGCCAAGTCGCTTCGAATTACAATTAAAATAGGCAGAGAAAAGAGTGGTTGAAATTAACTATTTAATGCAGAAAAGTTGCTCAGAACATGGGAAAGACTTTGGAAAAGTTTTAATAGTGTTCGTGGAAAAAAAAGAAGAAAACTACCGGAACTTTGCCTTACAAATTAAGAATTAGCTGGCTTAGTTTTATATACACGAAATGTATCTCAATTTTAAATCTACTAGCAATATAAATAGGAAGGGGTAAAATGGGTACTATACCCGGGCGGCCAATAAATAATTCATACGGTTCAGGACTATGAGTCATTATGCAACCACCCCATCGGTTGCTCTAGTTAAAGTTTCGATTTTATTTTATTTACTGTTTTTTTTTTGGACAACCACCGAAAATAAGGAATCGCAGTCACCCCACCGCACTATGAGTCATCGTCATCTGGCAGGACAAAACAGGACACCCCCGCCAAGGATTAGCAGCTGACTTTCGTCTACGGAGAACAGCTGACGGGTGGGGTGCTTTTATTTCCCCCCTCGACGGGATTCCTCGATATTCCCTTTATTTATTTCCATTTTTTATCCGCGCTGCTGAATTTGTAAAGCATTTCCAAGTACACGAGCGACAAACAGGCAACCACTTAACGCTTGTTGCCACATTCAGCTCCGTTCCAGCTGTCCTGTCTGAAAGTCCCTGGTCCTGAAGTGCGTTCAAAGCCAGGATATCACCCCACAAAGCCCCCTCCCCCCCTGTCAAAAAATACAAAAAAAAAAGTATATGTATAAAAACACAGAGACAATCGCCTGATTCGGCTTTCGTGCCACACACGTTTTGTACTTTTTCATTTCTGTGTATTTATTTGTATTGTATTGCATGTGTTCCGTCTGTGTTTCTGTTTGTGTTTGTGTGTACCTCCGCCCCTGAAAAGGGGGTTTGCACCCACCTTCCCCTCCCTGCCACCCGAAAACCTTAGGCATGCAAGGATATAATCGAGAGCATAGCCAACGGAACCCTCCATGAATCATGTCCGTCGCTTTATCAAACTAAAAAGGGGGTATGAAGAGCATGGCAGGGGCAACAAGGAGGGGGGAGTTGGGGTAGGCAGTACCCCGTTATCTGTGGTTATATTTACGGGTCTGTGGCGTATGCAATGCAGAAAAGAAAGGGTTGCAAGGACCCGACCCCCTAATGCAGGCATCAATTTTTCAATTTGTTTGGCGTCTTTGCATGCCAGTAGAAAATATTGGGAATAACATTGTCGATTGTAATGTGGTTGCGTTTTTCGAATTTAGAGTCGTAAGCAACATAATATGTTGCTAAATTATCAAATGAAATGATTTATTCGATTATTGATTTAATACCGTTTTTATTCTCGATCTTCACTGTTTCCAAAGAACTTTCATTAATAAATAGCTACTGCGGGCAGCCGCCGCCCGTCATTATATTCCAGCAATATATTTTCATTGCAGCAATTACCAAAGATCATAATAGAAAATTAAGTATAAAAGTACTGTCGCCTATGGGGAAATATTCAGTCCCAAAGACCAAAGAAGAAAAAAAATACAATAAGAAGCACACACAACATAGCATCAAAATGTCGATTGTTGACTTTTTATGCGAAATATGCGTGATTCCCTGCAAGTTTTCGGCCAGAATGAAAGTAGTGAGTACGTAGTGAAGGGGACTACGGGTACATAATGTCTAATAAACATTTTGTGCCCTATAAAAGGGCTATGAATGCGGAAGAACGTCGCTGCCAAACACGGCCTGTGCGTGTTTATGGCCAAGATGAAGACGAACAACATTCAACATTAGGGCCAACAGAAAACATTAGCCGCAACAATTAATACGTACAGAGGCAAACAAATGAAGCAGCACAAAAACAAAAAAAAAGAATTGAATTAATAATCTTACTTATGTTTCCCCCCTCTCTTTTCCCCCTCTTTTTGCAGATCTCAAGGCCCTAAGGCAAGGAATAGAAAGGAGGAATACAAGAAGAGTGAGAAAGTGACACTCAAGACCTCAGTTCTCTCGTTAAAGAGGTGTTAAAGGTAAGTCGGAAAAGTAAGGAAATATAATCGTATAAAAAATGATTGCAATTATTATTATTGTTGTTGATTTATTAAAACTTTGAAAAATAAATTTCAAAACATTATATAACATAAATCTTGGCCGAAAATTTGTTATCCATCATCCTATTGGAACTGTAGCGAGTCCCTTTTTATAGACACATACATATGTACACGCTTAAACAACTTTGATATGGACACATGACTGACATTACACAATGGCCATAACAAAACCGAACTGAAGTCGCAACCTCAAAAGACGAGAATAATAAAATAAAGCCAAGAAATACAATGAGCAGAGAGATATACAGATACAAAAAGAATGGCCCACGCCAAGCCCGCAAATAAGGTAGTGTGGCAACCCTGGCCCGTTGTAACCCCCCTGTGTTATGTGCACACACATATCTACGTGTGTACCCCCTTCATTTTGGGCTTGGGCTTGGGCTTGGGTTTGAGTTCGGGTTCGGCGTCCATAATAATTAGTTATAATCGGATTTAGTTAGACGCAAGCGACCGAAGGTGTCGCCAGTTGAAGTTTTCGTTGTTATCGTTGTTCTCATTGTGACTGTTGTTGCACCACCACTTGTGCTCCTTAACTGAACTAGTATATGTGATTTTATATATACAGATAGATAGATATATAGATAGATAGATAGGTAGATATGCCGCCCACACTCCCACTCGTGTAACGGTCGACCACAAGGCAATCAAATGGAAAAGCCAGCGAAAGAAAAACTGACAGCGACGAGTGGGTCGTCGAATCGGTGCAATATATATCTGCAAACGTCCCAGTATCTCCGGATCGTACCTGCATCTATATGTCTGTCTGTATCTATGCACCTTTGCTTTCCGTTCGTGTTCATTATTACTGCTCTTTTCTAACACGTTTGCGTTGTCGGTTGGGAGTAGTGGGGATAGAGGAGATAAAACCTGTATGGGAAAGGTCCCGCTCTTGTTTATTGAATTGATTCGAATTTGTGTGGAGTCTCTCTGTTCGCTTTTTTTGGGACGATTTAAAATGGGTTTTTTTTGTATATTCTTTCGGGCCTGCAACGCGGCTGCAGTGTCATGTGGTGGGGATATAACTCAATTAGCTGCATGGGGAGAAGGAAATGGGGGACACTGACGGCCGGACAAAAGAATAAGCCCGAGATGAGGTAGCCAGCGAAGATTGTTTATTTTTCGAGCTCAGTTCGGGTTCGGGTTCGGGTTCGGTTAGTTTTGGGTTTTTGGGAGACAGGTATCCGTATCCGTACCCGTTCCCGTTCCTGTACCCATACCCGTACCCGAAAAAGTGACAGCTGTCAGGTGAGGGTTTTACGATTTTGTTTCGTACTTTCTTGGTCAGGCAATTGTCGTTGTCGATGATAATTTGAAACGAAAACATTGCCTATGGGAACTGGGCGTGCTGTGGAATTGGTTCATAGCAACGTGGTATGCTGTTTAGTTAGATGTTGCACTTGCAGGTGCGTGACGCTGGTTGCATTTGGCACTTGGGGCCAGCAAATAGCCTCAAGCAACTCGAATTGCTGCAAAGATGTTGTGAAGATATTTGGTATACCATTTGGTTAATGCATAATTACATTTTAAGCCTTAAAAGACACTTAATAAAAGTTAACAGATTATGAACAGAAATGTGACCAGCATTTAGCTTTTCCGAAGAATCTCCCAGTGAATATTAGTGCTTACAATCTGACGCCTATTCAAATACCGTCTGGTCAAGTGCAGCTTTCGAAATCGTTTTTCACTCTTTGCCAATGGTCGTCTCCGGTGGGTTTTTCGTTTATTTTATTTTTTATTTGGGATGCGGATTGGATCGATCTATGTCAAAGTGGCGGCCCACACGAAAACGGCTAGAAATAAAACGAAATGGATGGAAATGAAATGAAAAAATGTCGGTGTGTGGGCGAACTTGGACTTGGAATGGAACTCGAATGGAGCATAAAATATGTTAATAAGGCTTAAAGTTATACAAATCTCTACTGGCTGGTCGCACTGAGTTGGCTGAGTTGGCTGAGTTGGCTGAGATGGCTGCGATGGCTGGCTGGCAGCGTCGATCGCTTGTAATACAAAACCATAAACATGAATTTGAAAAAAATGCTAAACGTAAAGTGGAGAAGCTGCTGCGGTCCGCTGGGGAACCCAAAACCAAACCAAAACCAAAACCAAAACCTAAACCCCAACCAAAACCGAACCCCGACTAAACCCAAGTGGAAGCCAGCTGGCTTGTCATTGTTGCAGTGTCTTTTCTTGGCCTGGCTTAATTTCCTGCTGCTCGACTTCAACTTGTTTTGCTTCTTCGCAGCTTCTCCCCTTTTCAGTCAGCCGAAAAAAAGAAAAAAAATATCGAAATAATATAACCACACACACAAAAGAGCATAAAAACAACAACAACAACAACAACCACGAAATCAGTTAAGTTCAGGTGTTCAATTTACTGATTGAAATTCTGCTTCGATGTGGCCAAGCAACTTTCATTCGCTCTGCTCCATTCCCCAAGCACATCTCCTTTATATACATTTATATATATATATATATTTATATATACTAGTACCATAGCATACCCATACATCTCTATCTTATGATTTTATTTAGAGTTTCGGCTGCTGCGAGTTCGATTCATAATTTTATGCCTGGCCATGTCAGGAATTATGTTAGAATTATGCTAATGAGAGTCCGATCGAGCCGAGATGCTTTAATTATACACGGCTAACAAGTTTTTCACCCCCTTTGCCAGATCTTCAAACCGCGGAGCCTGAAGAATTGATGAATAACTTAACTCGTTCTACTGGGTGAGCTGCAGTTGGTTATTATATTAAGGCAAGACGGAGTCTCGGGTTGATTCGATTAGTGTTATGAAATCTGAGATGGCTTTAAGTTTCGCTTCGGGCCCATTGATCTAAGGGAGTTATGGCTCTAGACATTGTTTAGGCAACCCATTTTGATCAATAGATTGATCAAACATATGTAGCTATTTTATCCGCTGTAAGAATGATTTAACAAATTTTGAATCCGATTTGTGTCCTTCACAACTTCTTTATTTGGCTAATGTAGTGCTGAAAATGTATCTAAAAGTGCTTAACACATACCCATCCAATCTGAGAACGGCCCTGGTTTATCATTTGCTTCAAAGACTTTTAACTTTGTCCCAACGATTCGTTTTCCCTCTTGAGATAATTATCAGAGGCACTTTTTGTAAGGATGAGCGATGACCTTTTCAGCTTGCGTTTACTGTTCCGTTAACTTGTGCTGACTTGGGCCAAAAACTTTTGGTGTGTGGCCCATTAATAGGCGATTTAAGTTTATTTTTCTGCCAGTTTGTGCCTTTTTATTGGCACTGGAATTGGGCCCACAACTCGCACATTCTGATGGCCCAGTTTGGCCCCAGGACACACATTTGTCTGGTAATCAGAGATGGCAGAGATGGCAGCAGGAAAGTAAAAGAGAGGGTTCTCGCAATCCGGAGCAGTCATCATCCTTTGACTTTGACTCCATCCTGGCCTTCTCCGTTTGCCACTTAGCAGTTAGCCTTTTAGTTGATTTGTTCGAGCAAACAAATTGTCAACAGAGGGGGGCGGAGTGAAAGGGCGGAGGCCCGCACAGACATACGCACAAATTGATTTTAATTGTTAAGCATTCCCTTTTTTAATTGTCCTAATCTCTGCCGAACCCCAGGACCTCGACCAATATCCTTTATGCCTTTTCCGGTTATCCCCGATTGCCCGATTCCCCTATTCCCCGATACTCCGATTCCTGTCCCGTTTACCCTTCCGCTTGTTGCCTTTTCCATTTTGTCAGCAAAAGTCCTTTAAGTAGCCTTCCTTTTGGCCGAGCTTTTTTCCTCCTTTTCATTTTCATTTTTTGGTGAAGGGTTAACCGGTCCCTAAGGGCACTGGCTGTCATGTGTGTGTGTGTGCGTGTGCGAAAGAGAAGGATATTGTAGGTGCGACAGAGACGGATGGAGGCGTCCTCAAGTACAGTCGACACTTTAACTGACAGTTAAAGTTGAGTTTTCGGTTTGTTTTGTGCAACTTCGAGGCAGCTGGGACAGCTTACTCAGGCCAACAGAAATCCAAAGGATGTGTGCCACAGATTCACTTACTTTGCAACGCATTACATTGCATTTCAGCCAGCTTTCTTCGGCACTGAAGAAATGTATGCCTGATTTGTTGGCATTTTTTTCGTGTAGATTCTATATACTATTGATCTAAAAAAATATTTGTTATGCTTAATTTTACTATGGGATCGAAATTAACAAAAACTGATTGTCGCTCCATTGTTGAAGACAATCTGGCACTTAACCCTCTTCTAGCCCTCACTCAGACTTTCTTGTTCGCTCTTAACCCCATGCTGCCAATCACTGGCAAGCAGAAAACTCCGATGGCAAGAAAAACATTTCCGCTGCGAACGCTTTCCGCTCCAGTTTTCAATTTTCGCAGCTCCGGCAAAACACAGAGATACAGTAATTATTTTCAGGCGACGCTTATCACACATAAATCTCGACTCCCCGGCGGCCCTCCGATCTGCTGTCCAATCCAATGCAATACAATCCAATCGATACCGATACTGCGGACTATATGGGTAGATGGTTGCCTGTTTTGTCAGTCAGTCGGCAGTCGGCAGTTGGTCGTCGGACGTTGGACGTTGGATGTTGGATGTTGGAAGTTGCCAGTTTTGCCAGTTGGCAGTTGGCAGCAACTTCCCCGGCCATCGGGCTTCCTTTCTGCAGCTGCCTTTCGAACCCCACTCCCCGCCCCCTTTCCAGTCGCCCCCTGGCCGCCACTGACCACAAGATGCAGCTGCACTTATCCAACATCCAACAGCATCCTTTAATGCCACAGCCCAAGCATCTGTTGTGATATTTATAGTTGCAAGTTGCAACTGGAATCGGGGGAACAGGTGCTAAGACGACGCCCGAGATCGAGTTGTCCGCCCAGAGCGAGAAAAGAAGGGTTACTTTTTGTGCAAAATAAAAAACATTTTATAAACATCAATTAGCCAAAAAATACTGTAATGTAATGTAAGACCGGCGAAAAAGCAAATAATTAATAAATAATGAATATTGTATTACCGCTTTGCCTCTTTTTTATTGCAAGCAATAAATCCAAATTTAAATAAAAAAATAAGCCCTATATTTTACACATTTTCCGTGAACCATTTCCACATTCCTGGCGGCGCTAATTATTTTTTTTTCGCCCCTCCTAGGCACTGTAGAAAACGTAAACCAGTTTTCACGATCGCATTATTATCGCCAGTTCGCTTCGGTTATTAGATGCAAGCTGCAGCGGATGTGCGGCTTCCTTCGAGACTTTTGTCATTTACGGTTTATCTATCCCCCTTGCGATACTTGACTCTCCTCCTCCTCCTCCCCCCCACCCATTTTCCCATACCCCCCGAACCACAACGACGGCTGCTCCTCCTAAGCACGTCGAAGTGGCTCTCATAAATCAATAAAGAAAGGCCCACCTGGTACAAATAACTTTGAAAAATTTATATTGAACACTCGCCTTGCTTCTTCCTCTTGCGAAAGTTTTTCGGCAGGTGGGTGGCGGCAGGGAGTGCACAACCCGGAAGGGGGGGTGGAGGACACCAGGGCTCCCCACTTGAGCCACTTTAGTTCCGTGGCGAAAGAGAGATGCCCGGGGCTCGGTGCCCAGGCATTTTCCAACCAGATGGCAGCTGCTACTGTTAAGTCTCGGACTTGGCCAATGAGTGGAGTGATTTGTATTGTTGGCCAGCCACTGCCTTCTGCACCCCTGCACCCCTGCACCACTGCACCACCCACACGATTGCCGTTGGAGATTGGGAGCAGTTTTCTTGTATGACATGCCCTGGATATTGAGACAGTGACAGCAACATGAAGAAAGCAAATTAAAAAAGCCAAATAGTGAAAGAACTTTCAAGGAAAACCCAAAAGGTCAGGAAACTTTGGAAAGGCTTTAAAATGGAATGTAATGATCGAAACCAGTTAGATTTAATGTCTTAATAAGAAAACAGTGCAGGAACAAAGTTTAACAATTCAAAATATGCTAATATATTCATATAATTATTATTATCGTAGCCAACTAGTCATCCTGCATCGAATTCTAGACCAAGATCCGGTTTTGCCGTAAATTCCTCCTAGGCAATAAAGTCAATTTCTTCGATCCAATACGCAGGCTATCAACACTTTCAAAAAATAACAGACGAAATCTGAAAACAGATGAAACCGAATCTTTATCGCCCATAAAAGGCAGGGTCCCCAAGAAAATAAAACTTCCCGTGAGCGTGTCTAAAATCGGTTTTAATTGGCCATGGCAAACGCAGTATTATCATCTTCAGCTGGAAGTTGGTGATGATCTGGTGATGATTTCCATCGAGTGGAGTTTCTCCCACAGCGTCCAGCCGGTGGATTTGGAATTTGTATTTCTGGTTTTTTGCTTTTCGGATACAACTCTAATTTTGAGTAATTTTCAGGCCCCGCCTCTCGGATTTCTAACCCTTCCGTTTTGTCTCTCTTCATTTTTTTTCTCCAACGGAAGCCCGCTAATCTTTTGCCTCCGTTTGCATCTTTTTTGGGTTATTTCTTTTTTTATGGATTTCTCCTCTTCTATTATTTCATTTTCTGTTATAATTTCGTTTAATTCGAGGCGCCAATTTCCGTATAAATGCAATGAAAACAAATAATAGCGACGAAATACAAGAAAACGAAATTAGACAGGCGGAAGAAGCAGTCCAAAAGAGTAGAAGACCGAAAAAACCCGAAAAACCCAGAAGACCCAGAAGTCCCAGACCCCAAAAACCAAGACAATATACAGAAATAGTAAAATAGTTGTAGAGCAGTCCAGCAAGTGGGGAAAATGCGTGAGAAAATGCCAAGGTAGCCGGGCACCTGTACGTCGAACTGGAAAAGTGGGAAAGTGCTGGGAAACGGAGGTGGAAAAGAGCGGAAAGGGAGAGTTTAGTACTTAGAGTTGAGACCGTGCTTCATATATTGTAGCTGCAATTTATTAGGCAAATCTCCTTAAACGCAACTCGAGCTGAAAGTGGAGATTGAAACTTGTTGGCTGGAATTAAGTGGTTAGCAGCAGGAATTTGGCCTGACTGATTTCTACAAGTCTACTTTCGGAGTGGAATGAAAAGAAATCAATTGCCATTCAAATTGAAATCTGTACACTTAATTTTCCCAGGTAAATTAAGCATTCCATTAGCATTATTTTGATTGCCTTACAAAAAAACTCTTTTTTTTCTGTGTAATCGTGTTTACTTAACTATTTATGTGATTGTACTTTTGTGTTGCTCCAATTTTATTGTTTGCTTTTAATTTAATTCCTGTGCTCGACACATTTTGCCCGGTACTTTGTGGAATATTTTTGCAAGATTTTTGCACATTTGGCCCGTTTATGTGGCCCTTTGTCGTAAACTGTGGTATTGCCCCGCGGCTTAAGCCTTTTCTGTGATGGTCGACCGTGCGCTTCCCTGCACCACCCAACCTCCTGCGTTGACTAATTTGAATGTAATTCGTTTTCGGGGCTCACGTACGGCTGTCTGCACTTGGAGAACATGAATAAAACCGAATAAAATGCGAATGAATATAAAAATGGGTACTACGGGTACATGAATAAAAAAAAAAACCCCTAAAAAAAAAAAACACGCGCGCCAACAGCGAACAATAAACGAACAATAATAAGTAATAAGACCCTGAGGCAATTGTGGCCCCCCTTCCCCTCAAAAAAAATTTGTTCAACAAAACGCGAAACGCGATAAAAAACAAACCAGAAAACGCAACAAAGCAAAACAAAGCGCATAAAAAGCACAGCAAATAAACAAATAGATACATGTGTGAACAAGAAGAAAGACAATTTTGTTCGGGGCTCCATTATATTTATATTGGCGCCTGCTCAAGGCTTGCGCCCCCCAGCCCCCAGCCCCCACCAAAATCCAATCCGGTTTCCCCCGGCCATTGTTGCACAAAAATCGCAGCTAATTGAAGGACTTTTGTCATTGGAGGTGTGTTCCGTATTGCCAAACATTGTAGGAAGTATCTCTTCATGTGTGTGAACTCAAGACAAGACGACGACTGGCACAGAATAAAGAAACATCGATGATAATCATCCATTAAAGGCCAATACACATGGGTTCTAATTCAACATATAGTGATTCAAGTGCTGCTTTCCACATCTTTCAGCACCATGTTGCACACGATGCAGCTGCTCCTGCTGGCCACCATTGTGGCCATGGTCAGTAGCTCGCCGTACACGAGCTACCAGAACCAGCGGTTCGCCATGGAGCCGCAGGATCAGACGGCTGTCGTTGGGGCCAGGGTCACGCTGCCCTGCCGGGTGATCAACAAACAGGGCACACTCCAGTGGACAAAGGATGACTTTGGACTGGGCACGTCCCGGGATCTGAGTGGATTCGAGCGGTACGCGATGGTGGGCAGTGACGAGGAGGGCGACTACTCCCTGGACATTTACCCAGTGATGCTGGACGACGATGCTCGCTACCAGTGCCAAGTGAGTCCAGGACCCGAGGGCCAGCCAGCCATTAGGTCCACATTCGCCGGATTGACGGTGCTCGTGCCGCCCGAGGCGCCCAAAATCACCCAGGGCGAGGTCATCTATGCCACCGAGGATCGCAAGGTGGAGATCGAATGCGTTTCGGTTGGCGGAAAGCCGGCTGCTGAGGTAAGTGTCTTTAATTGGTTAGCCCAACTTTTTTTCTTATAAAGGTGCCAAAGAATATGCACTGTAAAGAATGAAATAGGCCGACTATATGAGAACTCCTGCGAAGCAATGACACTGTACGACAATCCTCGTTTTTCCTCCTTTTCTTACTGCCCGCAGATTACCTGGATTGATGGCCTGGGCACTGTCCTTACGGATAACATTGAGTACACGGTGATACCGCTGCCTGATCAGCGACGCTTTACGGCCAAGTCCGTCCTCCGACTGACCCCCAAAAAGGAGCACCACAACACGAACTTCAGCTGCCAGGCGCAGAACACGGCGGACCGCACCTATCGCTCGGCGAAAATACGTGTCGAGGTGAGTAGTAGTCCCTCGGCCAAAAAAGCCAGGAGCTGACCCCCCGATGGTCGTTCTGTTGACAGGTCACTGCAGGTTTTGCATGAGCATCTACACTGGGACGAGCTTTAGGCTAAGAAACAAGCTTACATGCAATTAGAAATGGGAATTTCTTTAGGAAGCAGCTCGGTGGGGATGCCTGATCTTAAATCCATAGATTAATTGTGTTGATTAATTGTGTGAATAGAGATACTGAGGGGAATAGATTTTTTAGATCTTGATAGATTTTTCGCCACTGAGTTGCAAACAAATTTTTTCGAGTGCATCCTGCTGCCGCAGACTGAGGTTACCTTATCTATAGTATGAACGGGACAGAAGGGAGGGCGGCTGCTATCTATTTTACGTGATGCGATGCGCTGCGGAAGTCCCCTTCTTTCCCGAGGACAGCTGCAAGCCGGGGGGATAGTATTTTTTGAATGGGCTTTTGTGCCGGACATGGCTCGACACTGACGGGCTAATTCATGCCCGGACATAAAGGCAAGGCGCCCATCATGGGCCTCCTCCCTCGAACCCCTCGAACCCCTCCAACCCCTCATTCCGCTAGGGGTGTGAAAGTGAGGAGCCAACAAAGACCTGACCTCAGCCCACTTGTCAATGGCCTGGTTTTCGGCAAAGGTGGGGGGCTGAAATCGAGGGAGTCACATGTCCATGGCGCTGACAAATCCCTGACGAAGATGCCTGGCCAAGGAGTGCGCCGGGATGGCCAGTTGATTGGGCTGATTGAGGGCCAGCTTGAAGCGTACGCATGGGAATCCCTTGGTCACCAAGGACATTGCACATTAATTGGCAGCACAAGAGGGCCTTTAAATGTGAAACAATTGTGCCAATAAAATATTTATACATATGTGACAATTGAAACAGTTTGCACTCGATTTAATCGAAATTTGTTTGCAAAAAGCAGTGTCAAGAGCTTTTTATTTTCTCTCTTCCAGGTGAAATATGCCCCCAAGGTGAAGGTGAACGTGATGGGCTCGCTGCCCGGCGGTGCTGGTGGTTCGGTTGGTGGTGCAGGCGGCAGTGCACATGTGAGCACCGGTTCCCGGATTGTGGAGCACTCGCAGGTGCGCCTGGAGTGCCGGGCAGATGCGAATCCCAGCGATGTCCGGTACCGCTGGTTCATCAACGACGAACCGATCATCGGCGGCCAGAAGACAGAGATGGTAAGTGGCGCTCCTCCTTCTCATTTTGTTTGCTCTGCGCTTTTGCAAAGCCTCTCCTGAGATTTGTACTCGGAAAAACAGGTCCACATTCCACTTGGCAGGCTGGCGCATAATTAGAGCAACTATTGCGATTAAAATGCTGCCCCTGCTGTTGTATAATGTTGGCAATTATTGAAACCAGTTAGATCGCCACCGGAAAGGCCTAACGTTCCCACAATTAATCGCAACTGGAACTCATGGATCTCTCTCCCTCTCTCTCTCACTCTTCCCGTTTTCCCGTCGTTTCAGGTGATACGCAATGTGACTCGCAAGTTCCACGACGCGATTGTCAAGTGCGAGGTACAGAATTCCGTGGGCAAGAGCGAGGACAGCGAAACCCTCGACATAAGTTGTAAGTTGTCAAAGTTATTTGGCTAAATACTAATTTAATATCAAACAATCTATATAAGTAGAGTAAAATCATTTAAACTGTAAAACACAATCTATAGCACACAAATGCCTGCGACTGGCATTTTACTCTTGAATCGTTATTAATATCCGAAAATGGAAAGTAAAATACAACATATGTACGTGTGTGTATATTTATACACCGAACGTAAATTGTTGACATTTGTGAATTTCCATAAGTCAACAGTGTAGCTTTGGGCAGCACACTTTTGCCAAAATCAATTTAAAATGACCATTTAATCGTTTTTCTTGCAAAACTCCAAACACGTATAATAAATATTTAAGATATGCATGTATGTATGCATTAAAATAAGCCAATTTAATACATTATTTAATCATTCAAATTGCAGATGCTCCCAGTTTCCGGCAGCGACCACAATCAATGGAGGCGGACGTGGGCAGTGTGGTGTCCCTAACCTGCGAGGTGGACAGCAATCCGCAGCCGGAGATCGTCTGGATACAGCATCCCAGCGACCGGGTGGTGGGCACCAGCACGAATCTCACGTTCAGTGTCAGCAATGAGACGGCTGGCAGGTATTACTGCAAGGCCAATGTACCCGGATACGCCGAGATTTCGGCAGATGCCTATGTCTATCTGAAGGGCTCGCCGGCGATCGGATCGCAGAGGACACAGTACGGACTGGTGGGGGATACGGCGCGGATCGAGTGCTTTGCCAGCAGTGTTCCTCGTGCCCGCCACGTCTCGTGGACATTCAATGGCCAGGAGATTAGCTCGGAATCGGGACACGACTATTCGATACTGGTGGATGCCGTTCCGGGCGGCGTTAAGAGCACGCTCATCATTAGGGACAGCCAGGCCTACCACTACGGAAAGTACAACTGCACGGTGGTCAACGACTATGGCAACGACGTGGCCGAGATTCAGCTGCAAGCCAAGAGTGAGTATCCCGTACAAAATGTATATAATAAGTGTTGCCCAAATAATTCCTACTCTAGTGATCATTGTAATGTAAAGATTCTCATGCCGTCATACTTAAAGGAAATTGTGTTCACTTCTCTGGTGTTTTCTTTCGCAGAGAGCGTTTCCCTGCTGATGACAATTGTGGGCGGCATTTCGGTGGTGGCCTTCCTGCTGGTGCTGACCATTCTGGTGGTGGTCTACATCAAGTGTAAGAAGCGCACCAAGCTGCCGCCAGCGGACGTGATAAGCGAGCACCAGATCACGAAGAACGGCGGCGTTAGCTGCAAACTGGAGCCAGGCGACCGGACCTCGAACTACAGCGATCTGAAGGTGGACATTTCGGGCGGCTATGTGCCCTACGGTGACTACAGTACGCACTACAGTCCGCCCCCCCAATACCTGACAACCTGTTCGACGAAATCCAATGGCAGCTCGACCATTCTGCAGAACAACCACCAGAATCAATTGCAACTGCAACAGCAGCAGCAGCAGCAACATAGCCACCACCAGCACCACCCACAGACCACCACCCTGCCAATGACCTTCCTGACCAACAGCAGCGGTGGCAGCCTGACCGGCAGTATTATTGGATCCCGTGAAATCCGTCAAGACAACGGGCTGCCCAGTCTGCAGTCGACCACCGCCTCGGTGGTTAGCTCATCGCCAAATGGCAGCTGCAGCAATCAGAGCACCACCGCCGCCGCCACCACCACCACCACCCACGTGGTGGTGCCCAGTTCGATGGCCCTGAGTGTGGATCCCCGCTACAGCGCCATTTACGGCAATCCGTATCTGCGGTCATCCAACTCGTCGCTGCTGCCGCCACCCACTGCCGTTTAGGGTGGACCAGCATCGAACACCACCACCACCACCAACATCACCATCACCACTGCCGACAACAACGATGACACCCACTGAGCCACGCTAAGACTGATCTCACAAGGAACCGAGGCCCCGGCGGCTGCTTTTTGGGTAGGGGGCTATCACTGTTGGTGGTGCGTTTTTTTTCAGCTACCAAAAATTCGAATTGCTTAGGTTTAGGCACTTAGCTCACATACATCCGATTATATAGACATAATCGTAAGCTGATCTTTAGCATCATCATTTCTAAAGTCCTTAGGTCTAGGTACTTCATCTTTTCCCGTTTTTTTTTTTTTTTTTCTTTGTTTTTTGTCGTTTTTGTGTTCTTAGCTTAAGGATCTTACAGTAGGCTAATCCACCCAGTTTGATCTAGAGAGAGACTAAGCTTCAAAGAATGAGTGTTAAGCATTTACAAAACGAAAACAAAAAACAAAAATCTTAGGAAGATTAGAAAGTTTTACTGCTTGTTGAGAAAACGCCTTAATGTAATAGTTAACTGATTGGGGATTTAACCTCCAGTTAAAACAGAAAAAAAATAAAAAATTGGTTTTCTTGGGGGCGGGGATATGCGAGAGTGGTTTTGAACACAGTTTCTCAGACTTCATACAATGTTGCAAATATTATTTTCCTTTCAAATATTACTTCCCTTTAACCTAATGTATTATTCTGTATTCTGTATTATTTTTCAAATATTCGATCAACATTTTTTGTACGTTTTTGAACTATCTTTATATCGCGTACCTCTCCCTAAGGTTTTAAAATCCCAAGAATACTCCTTCGTCGAAAACAGCTGCCCCTATATAATCCGCAAAAAATATAGAAAAGTAAAACGAAAGAATTCAATTTTATGTATACACAGATATAGTATATGCTAAATGTTAATGAAATATATACAACCACGAAGACATTCAGTTGAATGGATAGCGAGTAAGCAAACGAAATGCCAAAGTACCTGATAGTATTTAAGTAGGGGGTGGGAAGGCCTTGGATCGGTACCGCCTGCCCCGCCCCCCCAATCAACTTCTTCTGAATTATGTAGCATTATCATCTTTTCTCGCCGAAACTCTAAGCTATGACTTGGGATTCGATAGTGCGTTTTATGGTTAAATAAATATAGAAGCTAGATCTTGACAGTCGCCTTAACTTATGACACGCCCATACATCTCAAATCGCCCATGCAAATGTAGAAAACAAAACAAAAGAAAACAAAACAAAAATGAGAGCGTAAACGTATTCAATTCGTCAGTTCAATTGTGCTAAGTGTACTTCTAAGTGTATAACGGTCTAATTATCCTAGTTGTAGCCTAACTAATCATAGACACGCATATTTAAAGTATAGATATAGACCTAGCCCTAAATATATACATACATCCATGCATTTTTTTTCATAGGCCTAAGCATTATATTTTGATAAGCAAGCGTATTTCGTCTAAGGATCCCCAAGAAAAGTAAACATTACTATTTCATTTTGCTATATTTATTAGCTGTGGGTATTTGATTAGTGTCGCCAATTAAACGCGAAACGAACAAATGTTTTTTGTTTACAAAATGCAAATGATAAACGCAAATAAGCAGCATGAAACACACACACACACAAAGTTAAACACGAAAACAAAAACAAAAAAACTGAATAAAAATTTATTGAAAAAAAAAAAAAACAGAAAGAAAGCCGAGGAAAGCGAATTGAGAGTTGGACATCAAAGACGAAAGACAAATATACCGTAGGGGGGCAAAAAACATTTTTAATTTGACCAGGTCGGAAGGACCGGACCAACTGTCAGCTAGCTGCAAAAAGCCAAAAATCAAACAAACAAAAGTGAAATGAAAATGTTCCACCACTGGCACCACTGGCACCACTTGCACCACCACCGCCGCCAGTCATGTGTGTTAATTTATGGCAAGTCGCCTCGCCGTTCGGAGTTACTACACTGTGGAAAGCGGTGGGTATATTTTCCTATTTAAGAATGATACGCAGCTGCAGTGTAAGCAAATGGTAAAATAAAACATGTTTAAATAAAAGTAAACGTCTTTAACTCATATTTTATCGAAAAACCAACTATTTACTGAACTTACAAATATCTTGATCAAAATTTCTTTGAGTTTTTAACTCAACTTTAATTGGGAAACATAAAAAAAATTTTAACTGAACTTACAGATATCTTAATCTAAATTTCTTTTGTGTTTTTATGTTATTGATCTCGTTTTACTTTCTACATTTCAGGCAAAATAGTGCACATAATCTGGGTAAGTACTAAAACAAACGTTTACTCGTACAATATATCGTTCGCGTCCTGTGGCCACTGTTGTTTTCGCTCAGTGTGGTTGACCAGAGTTGTGAAGTTGACAATGCAAACAAACGGCTCGCTAAGCTCGACTAAAAATGCTTAATGAGAGTGCGTAAGGGTGGCCCAACCGGTGAACCACCCACCAGTCCATCCGCTGGCTCCTGACCCCTTCCTCTGAGCCTTACCCCCCTCCCTTCTGGCCGCTATTTGCAGGACCCCTTTTCGCCGCCCCTTGAGGCAAGTGTTGGCCGCAAGAAATTCTGCGGCTATGGGCAACAAAGTCGCGCACGACGCCCATTAAACTAAATTAGTTGCCCTTTGTCACCGAACGACCCTCGCTGTCACACGTGGCTCGCTGGGGGCGGTGGGGTTAGGTTTGTTTGGAGGCGGTGGGTGTGGTGCTTGGAGCTGGGTGACTCGAACATACGTGCACTTAGCCAGAAGGAAGTTGCAATTGCGGTTGCCTGTGTTAATTAGCGTTTTTTTTTTGTATTTTTTTTTTTTGCATTTGGAAAGCAAAAGGGGGAAACTCTCGAAAACTGAAACTAACGTGAGTTGGCAAATGTCAAGAGACTGGCGAAAGTAAAGCCACAGAAACTGACATTAGTTGGTATCCCATTCAGAAGCCTTTCTGTAAATGCATCAGCTTCCCTTCAATTTCTTTAATCCAATTTAATGTTAATTTTCTTTGCTACACTACTAATGCTACTCTACTAAAGTAATTTTCTAATATATCCAATCATGTATGGAGCCTTGAACCCTTTTACATACATATATACACAATGGAAGCCTGGATATAAATATTGAATATGTTTTTCCTCACATGTGTATGCTTACAGAATTTTAATTTATTTGGGAAAATTGCTTTCCGTTTCCCCCCAATCCCAACTCGTTGACAATTGGGCAAAGTTCCGTGAAAGCTTCTTCAGCAACTGCAATTCGCATTGTCCGTGAAGTCGTGCGGAGTTTCTACGGCGCGTTAATCACTCTGCAATATCCAACAAACAGCCTTACGGGTTTCCCGGTTCCCTCGGCTTCTTTTTGGATTACGGTTTTCAAGGGGCACGGCGGGCACGGGACTGGAGTTTGGTACAAAAAGAAAAAAAACGGACACGAGGCGCCCGAAGAGTTACGATTTCATTAACATGAGATATGGCAAGTGCCAAAGCGCTGGTCGCTCCGAAGCCGTGGGTTTTTTGTTTTTTGGGCACAGGGTTGGGTTCGGTTTGTGGTTCGGTTGTTGGGTTGTTGGGTTGTTTGGGGTCGATCCGGGCGGGGGTCGTGTTGGGCTGGTTTATGGCTCAAGTGTTGGCTTGTCGTCGCCGCTTGTGTCGCACTGCGTTGTTAATTGCCACAAAGAGAGAGTGGTCGAAGGAGCGACCGAGACAGGTTGGATGGTAGGCACTCGGAAAAATCAGCGACCTACTTTGATCTAGCAAATAAATAATATGATATTGCACTTCAAAGCTTGCTCTTACTGCGTGGTGTGGGTGTGTTCTTCCAGAACTACAATGTTTATTTTGTCTGTAGTTATGTTTGCTTCCTCTATTTGTTTCAGTGCACGAAGAGAGCAAAAAGTGCGGCAACTCTGGGTCGCTTCATATGATTAGCAAATGTTTTGTTTTTCACTATGCACTAAAAACCAAAGGAAATGGGAAACGCACCAGCTACCAGCTGTTGGTTGGGTGGTTAGGTGGTTAGATGGTTTTGTGGATGGTGGGCGGCATTTTTGGGTGGTTTCCTGCCCCTCAACTCTAACCCCAAAATGGCTGGCAAGTTTTGTGTTAGCCTTTATGCGGCCGACAGCACGGTGGTGGGAGGTTGCTTAATGTTGGGTGGCCACTGTAATTGCTGTTCTATGCGAGTTTCCCTCGTGTTAGGTGTGTGTGGGTGGGTGTTCCAGTGTCCCTGTGTGCGTGGCCAGTGTGGGGGAGAGTTGAATTTCTTGAATTAATAAAATGTCTTCATTATTTAAATTGCACGCACGACCACAGAGGCAGAAAACCCGGACCCCCAAACAACCCAACCAACCAACCAACCAACCAACCACCACTCAAACATATGTGTGTGTCGCCTGACTGACGTGCATATATGTATCTCCCAGTGCGATTGTGTGTGTGTAAGCGACTGAGTTAATTAGCAGCTGGGGAATTGTGAAATATATTAATATTGTACATTTCGGTGGGTCCAAATAACGTATAGCCACCCGAGCCCTGCCAATAAACCACAACAAGCCGTGTGGCACATTCCCGTTCCCACTTCAACGCTCCTGTGGTCAATAGCAAGCCATTGCAATGGTATCCGGAAGTTGTGGTTGCGGTTGTTTTCACTTGCTAGAGCATAGATATTTGATCAAACCTACTGATCGATGGCAGCCTTCTGGGCATATGAAAAGGTGCTACAAAAATTCTCCCAAAAGTATGCCATACATTGCATAGCCAAGTTGCGTTTTCAACCGATGGTATCGATAAGCTGAAGAGCTCTGCTATATAAAGATCACCCATAGATGGCGTTGTTTGAATTGTAAGACAACAGCAACAGGTGTGAGGTCAAAGTGCTGATTGAACAACATGTTTATACCCGTTACTCGTAGAGTAACTACAAATCTGCATTCAAATTTAGAATTGTATTTTTTTTTAATTTTGTTGTAATTTTTCTGATGTTATGATATTGTAGAAACTCAATAACTCAGCTTATCTTAATCGGATTTTGAAGTGGCATACCTTTAAATGTTTCTGGAGTAATGATCTAAAAAGCTGCATTCAAATTTAGAATTTTATTTTTTTTTAATTTTTTTGTAATTTTCTGATGTTATGATATTGTAGAAATTCAAAAATGCCCCAAGACTGAAGTTCAAAAGTCCATAACTCAGCTTATCTTAATCGGATTTTGAAGTGGCATACCTTTAAATGTTTCTGGAGCAATTCTCTAAAAAGCTGCATTCAAATTAAAAATTTTATTTTTTTTAAATTTTTTTGTAATTTTCTGATGTTATGATATTGTAAAATTCAAAAATGCCCCAAGACTGAAGTTCAAAAGTCCATAACTCAGCTTAGCCTAATCGGAATTTGAAGTGGCATACCTTTAAATGTTTCTGGAGCAATTCTCTAAAAAGCTGCATTCAAATTTAAAATTTTATTTTTTTTAAATTTTTTTGTAATTTTCTGATGGGATGATGTTGTAGAAATTCAAAAATGCCCCAAGACTGAAATTCAAAAGTCCATAACTCAGCTTATCTTAATCGGATTTTGAAGTGGTAGTGGAAGTTGTGGTTGCGGTTGTTTTCACTTGCTAGAGCATAGATATTTGATCAAACCTACTGATCGATGGCAGCCTTATGGGCATATGAAAAGGTGCTACAAAAATTCTCCCAAAAGTATGCCATACATTGCATTGCCAAGTTGCGTTTTCAACCGATGGTATCGATAAGCTGAAGAGCTCTGCTATATAAAGAGCACCCATAGATGGCGTTGTCTGAATTGTAAGACAACAGCAACAGGTGTGAGGTCAAAGTGCTGATTGAACAACATGTTTATACCCGTTACTCGTAGAGTAACTACAAATCTGCATTCAAATTTAGAATTGTATTTTTTTTTAATTTTGTTGTAATTTTTCTGATGTTATGATATTGCAGAAATTCAAAAATGCCCCAAGACTGAAGTTCAAAAGTCCTTAACTCAGCTTATCTTAATCGGATTTTGAAGTGGCATACCTTTAAATGTTTCTGGAGCAATTCTCTAAAAAGCTGCATTCAAATTTAAAATTTTATTTTTTTTTAATTTTTTTGTAATTTTCTGATGTTATGATATTGTAGAAATTCAAAAATGCCCCAAGACTGAAGTTCAAAAGTCCATAACTCAGCTTATCTTAATCGGATTTTGAAGTGGCATACCTTTAAATGTTTCTGGAGCAATTCTCTAAAAAGCTGCATTCAAATTTAAAATTTTATTTTTTTTTCATTTTTTTTTTAATTTTCTGATGTTATGATATTGTAGAAATTCAAAAATGCCCCAAGACTGAAGTTCAAAAGTCCATAACTCAGCTTATCTTAATCGGATTTTGAAGTGGCATACCTTTAAATGTTTCTGGAGCAATTCTCTAAAAATCTGCATTCAAATTTAAAATTTTATTTTTTTTAATTTTTTTTGTAATTTTCTGATGTTATGATATTGCAGAAATTCAAAAATGCCCCAAGACTGAAGTTTAAAAGTCCATAACTCAGCTTATCTTAATCGGATTTTGAAGTGGCATACCTTTAAATGTTTCTGGAGCAATTCTCTAAAAAGCTGCATTCAAATTTAAAATTTTATTTTTTTTTAATTTTTTTGTAATTTTCTGATGTTATGATATTGTAGAAATTCAAAAATGCCCCAAGACTGAAGTTCAAAAGTCCATAACTCAGCTTATCTTAATCGGATTTTGAAGTGGCATACCTTTAAATGTTTCTGGAGCAATTCTCTAAAAAGCTGCATTAAAATTTAAAATTTTATTTTTTTTTCATTTTTTTTTTAATTTTCTGATGTTATGATATTGTAGAAATTCAAAAATGCCCCAAGACTGAAGTTTAAAAGTCCATAACTCAGCTTATCTTAATCGGAATTTGAAGTGGCATACCTTTAAATGTTTCTGGAGCAATTCTCTAAAAATCTGCATTCAAATTTAAAATTTTATTTTTTTTTAATTTTTTTGTAATTTTCTGATGTTATGATATTGTAGAAATTCAAAAATGCCCCAAGACTGAAGTTTAAAAGTCCATAACTCAGCTTATCTTAATCGGATTTTGAAGTGGCATACCTTTAAATGTTTCTGGAGCAATTCTCTAAAAAGCTGCATTCAAATTAAAAATTTTATTTTTTTTTAATTTTTTTGTAATTTTCTGATGTTATGATATTGTAGAAACTCAAAAATGCCCCAAGACTGAAGTTCAAAAGTCCATAACTCAGCTTATCTTAATCGGATTTTGAAGTGGCATACCTTTAAATGTTTCTGGAGCAATTCTCTAAAAAGCTGCATTAAAATTTAAAATTTTATTTTTTTAAAATTTTTTTGTAATTTTCTGATGTTATGATATTGTAGAAATTCAAAAATGCCCCAAGACTGAAGTTTAAAAGTCCATAACTCAGCTTATCTTAATCGGAATTTGAAGTGGCATACCTTTAAATGTTTCTGGAGCAATTCTCTAAAAAGCTGCATTCAAATTTAAAATTTTATTTTTTTTTAATTTTTTTGTAATTTTCTGATGTTATGATATTGTAGAAATTCAAAAATGCCCCAAGACTGAAGTTCAAAAGTCCATAACTCAGCTTATCTTAATCGGATTTTGAAGTGGCATACCTTTAAATGTTTCTGGAGCAATTCTCTAAAAAGCTGCATTCAAATTTAAAATTTTATTTTTTTTTAATTTTTTTGTAATTTTCTGATGTTATGATATTGTAGAAACTCAAAAATGCCCCAAGACTGAAGTTTAAAAGTCCATAACTCAGCTTATCTTAATCGGATTTTGAAGTGGCATACCTTTAAATGTTTCTGGAGCAATTCTCTAAAAAGCTGCATTCAAATTTAAAATTTTATTTTTTTTTAATTTTTTTGTAATTTTCTGATGTTATGATATTGTAGAAATTCAAAAATGCCCCAAGACTGAAGTTCAAAAGTCCATAACTCAGCTTATCTTAATCGGATTTTGAAGTGGCATACCTTTAAATGTTTCTGGAGCAATTCTCTAAAAAGCTGCATTCAAATTTAAAATTTTATTTTTTTTTAATTTTTTTGTAATTTTCTGTTATGATATTGTAGAAATTCAAAAATGCCCCAAGACTGAAGTTCAAAAGTCCATAACTCAGCTTATCTTAATCGGATTTTGAAGTGGCATACCTTTAAATGTTTCTGGAGCAATTCTCTAAAAAGCTGCATTCAAATTTAAAATTTTATTTTTTTTTAATTTTTTTGTAATTTTCTGATGTTATGATATTGTAGAAATTCAAAAATGCCCCAAGACTGAAGTTCAAAAGTCCATAACTCAGCTTATCTTAATCGGATTTTGAAGTGGCATACCTTTAAATGTTTCTGGAGCAATTCTCTAAAAAGCTGCATTAAAATTTAAAATTTTATTTTTTTTTTATTTTTTTTTTAATTTTCTGATGTTATGATATTGTAGAAATTCAAAAATGCCCCAAGACTGAAGTTTAAAAGTCCATAACTCAGCTTATCTTAATCGGAATTTGAAGTGGCATACCTTTAAATGTTTCTGGAGCAATTCTCTAAAAATCTGCATTCAAATTTAAAATTTTATTTTTTTTTAATTTTTTTGTAATTTTCTGATGTTATGATATTGTAGAAATTCAAAAATGCCCCAAGACTGAAGTTTAAAAGTCCATAACTCAGCTTATCTTAATCGGATTTTGAAGTGGCATACCTTTAAATGTTTCTGGAGCAATTCTCTAAAAAGCTGCATTCAAATTAAAAATTTTATTTTTTTTTAATTTTTTTGTAATTTTCTGATGTTATGATATTGTAGAAACTCAAAAATGCCCCAAGACTGAAGTTCAAAAGTCCATAACTCAGCTTATCTTAATCGGATTTTGAAGTGGCATACCTTTAAATGTTTCTGGAGCAATTCTCTAAAAAGCTGCATTAAAATTTAAAATTTTATTTTTTTAAAATTTTTTTGTAATTTTCTGATGTTATGATATTGTAGAAATTCAAAAATGCCCCAAGACTGAAGTTTAAAAGTCCATAACTCAGCTTATCTTAATCGGAATTTGAAGTGGCATACCTTTAAATGTTTCTGGAGCAATTCTCTAAAAAGCTGCATTCAAATTTAAAATTTTATTTTTTTTTAATTTTTTTGTAATTTTCTGATGTTATGATATTGTAGAAATTCAAAAATGCTCCAAGACTGAAGTTCAAAAGTCCATAACTCAGCTTATCTTAATCGGATTTTGAAGTGGCATACCTTTAAATGTTTCTGGAGCAATTCTCTAAAAAGCTGCATTCAAATTTAAAATTTTATTTTTTTTTAATTTTTTTGTAATTTTCTGATGTTATGATATTGTAGAAACTCAAAAATGCCCCAAGACTGAAGTTTAAAAGTCCATAACTCAGCTTATCTTAATCGGATTTTGAAGTGGCATACCTTTAAATGTTTCTGGAGCAATTCTCTAAAAAGCTGCATTCAAATTTAAAATTTTATTTTTTTTTAATTTTTTTGTAATTTTCTGATGTTATGATATTGTAGAAATTCAAAAATGCCCCAAGACTGAAGTTCAAAAGTCCATAACTCAGCTTATCTTAATCGGATTTTGAAGTGGCATACCTTTAAATGTTTCTGGAGCAATTCTCTAAAAAGCTGCATTCAAATTTAAAATTTTATTTTTTTTTAATTTTTTTGTAATTTTCTGTTATGATATTGTAGAAATTCAAAAATGCCCCAAGACTGAAGTTCAAAAGTCCATAACTCAGCTTATCTTAATCGGATTTTGAAGTGGCATACCTTTAAATGTTTCTGGAGCAATTCTCTAAAAAGCTGCATTCAAATTTAAAATTTTATTTTTTTTTAATTTTTTTGTAATTTTCTGATGTTATGATATTGTAGAAATTCAAAAATGCCCCAAGACTGAAGTTCAAAAGTCCATAACTCAGCTCCATAACTCACTGTTATTAAATTAAAAGCATTCGTTTTGAAGACTTGTAATAATATGTAATAGTATATTTTTTAGCCTTTCTAGTCTAGCAGGTTAATACCTGCTTTTTCTGAGAAAATGAATACAATACAGCTGTTAGGAAACATATGTTGTTAATGTGGATTTATATATTTAGAAAAAAAAAACTTTAACGAATAGCTGGACAAGTAAATGCAGTAATCTGGTCCCACACTTGTAATAGATATATGTAATCCAGCTTTGTTAACTGGAAAGTTGGATTCGCATATATATCCCGATTATTTGAGGCCACCAGTGACCTCGATGGCGGCCCCATTGACGTAGGACGACTGCGGGGAGGCCAAGAAGGCAATCACCTCGGCTATCTCCTCCGGCTGACCCATTCTGCCCAAGGGACAGCGCTGCACCACCTGCTGCTTCACGGAATCGGGCACCACAGCGACCATGGGCGTGTCTATGTAGCCCGGCAGGATGCAGTTCACCCGGATGCCAAACTTGCCGAACTCCTTGGAGGCGACCTCCGTAAAGGAGATCACTCCCGCCTTGGAGGCCGCATAGTTGGCCTGGCCCACATTATTCATCTTGGCCACGATGCTTGAGAGGTTTACAATGGTGCCGTTCTCCAGCTTCTGCTCGATCATGGCCTTGGCATAGGCCTGGGTCACCAGAAAGGTGCCCTTCAGATTGACACCGTACACGTCATCGTAGTCCCGTTCGGGCATCTTGAGCAGATAACCATCTCGGGTTATTCCAGCCGAATTGACCACAATAGTGGGTGCCTGCTGGAACTTCTTTAGAGCCTCGGCCACCGAGGACTGGACACTCTGGGCAGAGGAAACGTCCACCTCCAGGGCGGCAGATCGCTCAGAGCCCAATTCCTGGACGGTTTCCTGGGCCGCCTTTAGATTGCGGTCGGCAGCGATCACTTTGGCACCATCTCTGGCCAAAAGGCGACAGGTGGCACGACCAATACCCGAACCGGCTCCTGAGAAACGGAGATCAGAGTCACAAACAAAGTCTAAATATCAAGGGGAACAAAGAGAATACACACCTGTTACCAGGGCCACTTTTCCAGCTAACACTCCCACTGACATGGCTCCGAATAAGACTTATTAAACAGCAGTTTTCACTTGTTTTCCTCTCAAACGTCGTGCGACAACTATATAAGTTATCTACGCTAAAAGTTATCGCCGGCCAACAGCTGTTCCAAAGCTGATTAGCTGTGAGCAAATTAAACATAAGTGGTGGAAAGCTCTATTCCACACGATCGTTTTCAGAGAGCTTTTTGGTGGAACCATAAGTACATAAGAAGAAAACAAAATTGACAAGTCCAAAGATCATGAAAGCGCTTCAAAGTCATTAGTGTTTTGTATAATAATTTGTTGTTTGTTTGCGGCCACATAGTTTTGGGCTCACTTGAAAAATACGCCTACGTAATGATGGTAACGAGATGGAGGTTCCTTAGTGCTATATACCGATTGATAAAAGTAGTGGGATTCATTAGTACTATATACCGATTGATAAAAGTAGTGGGACTCATTAGTATTATATTCCGATTGCTAGTGCAGAATAACCAGTTTATAGTGCTGACAATTAATTTTGTTCATTCACTTTTATTGCAAGGAAGCCTATTTGATGGGCAACAGTACTTCAATATATTCCCCAATTATTTTTAGCCCGGCGCCCAAAAGAGTGCAAGAAAAAATGTTGTGTTCCGGAAAAGTGTCTGTGTGTGTTTATTCCCTTCAATTATTTCACTCCAGTGGTATTAGGTAATACTCCTCCAGCTGGGGACCCCAGTTCGCGCTCCGAACACCGCCATACCCAGCACTCCGGGCCAATCCAAACTGCCTGAGCAGCTTCTTGAGATATCTCTTGGGTATTTTAACCAGCTGCCGCCGGATTATACGCTGCAACCTGTTCCATGGACGACTTCCGCCGCGGTGATCGTCCTCGGGATCCTCCAGCTCTTGGTCCTGATTCGGGTCCTCCTCTTCCTCCGCTTCCTCATCTTGCTCCACCGCATGTCCACCATCCTCATCCTTCTGTGTCTGCAATTTGGCCAACTGCTGAACTAGCTGTTTCAGCTGCTTCGCGCTCAGCAGGCTGAGGTCTACCACGGGTTCATTGTGGGTCCGTAGCTGGTGTCTCGATCCACAGGTTTTGGCAGAAATCTCCGGAATCGATGGTACTAAGATCGCAACCACGATCAGTACGATCAGAAATCGCTGTCCAGCCATGTTTGTACCCAGCCTCGGGCTAAACAGCCGCTTAAATACCCAAAAATTGCCCCATCATTCGTCACGATGTGATCTCGTTGGTGATCTCGGCCCAGAAATGTGGGTCAAGTGCGTACTTTTCACAGACTATATTTGGTTTTTTTATTCTATGCCCATAAAGGAGATTTTACCAACAATTGTTTTTGCCTTTCTTGCTTCTGGTGATCAACGATCATTGATCTTTGGTACTTGATCGCTGTGACCTTAGATCTTTAAAGGGATGGTTTCTTAAAAATGGTATAAGCAAATATAAATATGATTTAAATCGGCTTAAATTGTTGGTAAATTAAGTAAGTATGTGTACTTTGTATAATTCATATGAACTCAGCTTGTACTCTACTCATTTTTCGGTATTTATGTACACATACATTCTTATTAATTTTCATTAGAAATGTAATGTTGAGCAGGCAGAGGGATATTTCGTGATCATTTCTTTTAATAATGGAAGTAATTTTATTCATTGTCTATTAATTTTTTGATTGACTTAAAGTGTGTGCCTTTGCAATCTGTTTTTCCCAATCGCCCACACAAAGATAAAGTAAGGAAGCAGTTTAAGTACTCTTGAATGGCTTTATTTATGTTTTATCCTGTCGCAGGAAGTGCGGCAGTAGCAAGTTAAGCTACAATAAATTAGAAAAAAAAAATGTTCTTGCCGGAGTTTGTCGGATCGTTGGAAGCTGAATTTGAATCCATGGTCCTTAGACGGCGATGATGCGATTGCGACGATTCTTGTTGCGATTGCGACGGTTCTTCTTGTTGCCGTTGCGCCGCCGGTTGTTGTTCTTGTTGATTTTGTTCTTGGCAGGCACACGCTTGCGGACCACACGGCGCTTGGAGACGGGACGACTACCGGTGTTGAGCATCACCTTCTGTCCGTTCTTGAAGTAGCGACGGTAACGGGGCGGGATGCGCACGCTGATCACCTGGCCGCGGCGGGCGCCCTTGCGTCGCAGGCTGATGTGGTTATTGCTTTGGGTGGCCTTGCCTCCCTCGCCGGTGGCTCCGCCAGTTCCCTGGACATCCTGCTCGGTGACCACCTCGTATTCTTGGGCGCCAGCGGCCAGGGCGGCCTGTAGTGCCTGCTCGTCCATCAACTCGGCGGGGTAGGCCTGGGCGGGCTGGGCCAGCTCCTGGTCCTGGTCCTGCTCCTGATCCTGGTCCTGGTCCTGGTCCTGATTCTGTTCCTGGTCGTCATCGTTGCTGCCATATCGGGCACCCTTGATAATAGTTTGCCGAGGGACCGAGCTTGTCGTGGGCGTGGAGGCCGTGGTGGGTGTTGTGGGCGAAGTTGTGATGGTGCCAGTAGCCGAGGGAATGGTTCCCGTCGATGTCACCGTCACCGTGGGCGATGCGGTTCCTGTGGAAGCGGTACCGGTTCCGGTTCCGGCGCCGGTGATAATGATTGGGATCACCGGCTGGTTGTTGCTGCTGAACAGGTTCTTGAAAGTCAGGAACTTTTTAAGGAACAGCCTGCCACTGGAGGGATCCTTGGCAGAGGTCGATGCACCAGCGCTGGAAGCGGCCGCCTGGCCCACCTTGGCATCCTGGTCCGCTTGACGCGACTTCTGGGCCGTCTTCTTGTCGGGCGCCGCCTGTGCCGCCAGAAGACAGCAAGCGAAAAGGATCACGATGGCGTACAACTTCATTTCGGATAAATGTATAGACTTTTGTGTCTACGGGAAACTACTCTGGACTCTGGGTAAGGAGAGAACTTTTCGGGTAGACCAAAATCGCAGCGATTTCTGTTGCTTGCCGATGGCTGGACAATCAGGCTTTGATACTTTATCGTCCAGCAATGAGGCTTTTTATAGTCCCGTAAAATACGCTGTGGAATGCAAATCGTAAGTGCCAAACGGTAAATCTGTGTACACAATTGAAATTCAATTGATCCGTGGTGGTGGCTCAAATAGTCAAATCGCTGCCAGCTATAATGTATATTCTTCAAATTCTCCGTCATCATCATTCTGCCGGTCATCCCATTGGTTTTTCGGCCGTGCGGAACGCCTTTGGGTTTTTCGGTTGGATTTTCGAGTTGGTATTGAAATTGGGGTTTTGGTCTTTAGGTTTCTGCAGCGCCTTGGGCTTTTGATAGAGTGGGCTGAAAAAAAGTGAAAATCTATTCAAATCCATTTCTAATTGAAGCCGTTGGGTCGAAGGTGGCCCAAAGCCTGCGAAAGTGACCCACAAAGGGCCATAAACGTGTGCCTAACGAACTTCTTTTCGTTTTTCAGGTGTCTGAAATAAATGCGTTTGATGATTATTATTATATAGAGTATACGTATATACATAACTTCATATAAACTAAACTGCTACTATCCACTTATTCCTAGGATTATCATGTTGGTGTTAGGAGTAATGGAAACTACATATATGTGGAATATAACGAATATACTAGCTACACCAAACATGTTAGATATTACGGATTTAATTGATATGATATGATAGTTGGAATATTCTTTGATAAATGTCAAACAGTATTCGAGAATAGTGATAAGACAAGGGATTTTTTTATTTTTGTATTATATATTCGCTTTATTGAAATCGTACATGGTGGTTCAGAGGTCATAGCCAATGGCTAGCCGATGGATTGCTCAGTTGCGGCGGCGGTTGGCGCGACGGCGCTGGCGCAGGCGGCTCAGTCGGTTGTTGAGGCGCATGCGGCGGCGGGCGTTGCGGTGGCGGCGGTTCTGGGCGCGTTGCCTCTGCTGGCTACGGCGGGAGAGCTGGCGGCGCTTTTGCTGCTGGCGCTGACGGACACGACGGCGATTGTTAATGGCACGACGGCGGTTCTGGGTGGCACGGCGTTTGGCGCTGGCCAGCTGCTTGCGCAGCTCCTCGTTGAGCTCCTTCTGGCGGCGCAGTTCGATTTCGCGCATCAGTTCGCTGTTGGACAGGTTTTTGTTGCCGGACGATTCGTATGAGTTGCTGGCGCGACGGCGCAAGCCAGAGGATGAGGAAGAGGAGGCATTGGGAGCCACAAGCTGGTAGCTGCCGTCCACGTCGTTATCGTCATCCTCCTGGTCGTCCCCCTGCTCGTCATCCTCGTCCTTCAGATACTTTTCCTCCTCCTCATCCTGATCGAACTCCTCGTCGTCGTCCTCGCCCAGGTTGTTCTGGTTGAATGAACGACGGGAGGTGGAAGCAGTAGTGGGTGTGGTGCTTGTTGTGCTCGTTCCGGTCGATGTTGTGGGTGCAGTGGGTGAGCTCACTATGGTGGTGGTGGGCACATAGCTAGTGGTGGTGACAGGTGGTGCCGGCGGGCAGGCGGGCTGCTTCAGGGACAAGAGCTGCTGCAAGTTGCGTGCCTCGATCTGCACTGGCTGCTTGAACAGGCGGTACTTGGTCTGCTGGGCGGTCTCCTGGTCGGACTCATCGTTGGAGCGGGCAACTGGTGATTGGTGAAGTAATTAATGTAGCTTATGTAAGTTAATGGGCGGTCTCTTATGTCTTTGGCAGCCTGCTTGAATCTACAAATCTGTTTACTAAAAACAGACCTAAAAGCAGACTAAACTCACCACCCGCCTGGGCAATAATTGCTGTGCCCAGCACCAGCATAGCTCCGTAGAAGAACTTCATCCTGTGCTTTTTTCTTGGGACTTCCTGCGGAACTGATCTAGGCCTTGGAAATGAATTGGATTGGTGGGCCGGGACTGTGCCTGGAGGAAGATCGTCGGTGGACTGTGATATTGCCAGCGGCCAGTCGGGGTTATATACCCCACGGTCCAGTTGCGGATCTAACAACAACAATCCAACCCAGAATCGACAACCATAATTCTCATTATCATTTCTTTTTTCGCAAATTGGCACACTCGCCAAAGTTTTTGCATAAATTTTGGTGACCGCTTGCCGATCGTTGAACTAGTTTGACCCATGTGACATTTATTAGCAAAAGTTCGCTATAGTTGCCGTCTATCTGATTGACAAACACAGATTCTAAAATATCTGCAATAAGTTACTTAGTGTTTGCTTAACAAAGCAATGACGTTCTGTTAGTGCATAATAGAAAAGATTTCTTTTCCTTTACAAGGCTTCCCCACTACTCGACTTTTTGCGCAACTTTTTGTTTCCGAAAAGGAATATTCCTATATATGGAATATTTACTCAAAGGGTTTCTGTTACTAAGGAACATTAAATATTTGTGTTTTACTATTTATTTCCCTTATTGGATTTAATTAATTATTATTAATTCTTTTTAAATTATGGCACACAATGACTTTGAGAAATGACCAATGAAGATAGCACATTGAATAAGGTGTTGTAATCTATTATCTTAAAAAGAGAGTACCTTCACTTTTAAGGTGCTAGTTCAGAGTGGTGACCTCACATTGTCCTTATAAATTCTCAAAGAAAATCTTAAATCACCTTGCTTAATTTGATTTAAAAGTCGCAAACCCTATTGTATTTATTCATTTTATTCGGGTTAATTGTGGACTTCGATATTTGGTGGAGGGGATTGCAGCTATGCACCCAGAATATAGAAAGGAGTTGAAGATCGATTTCATATCGATGTTGGTATTTTGAAAATATTACTTATACCTTCTTCATCGAAGATAGTATTTTAAGATCGATATTTATGGCATAGACGGTTCAAGTGGCACTCGACTCCCATTTCCCAAAGATAGCCGCAAAAACTATTATATCATTGCAATTTATTCAGTGTCGTTTGAAATCGGTTGCCGGGAAATTCCCGCCTTAGGCGACGACGCGGATGACGCGGTTCCGGTTGGGGGTGCTCTGCCGGAAGCGGTTGACCAGGCGCATGTTGTTGCGATGGTTGCGACGCTGGCGGCGCTTCTGGATCTGCTGCTTCCTACGGCGCTGCTGCTGGCGACGCCTCTGCTGCTGGCGGCGCTTCTGCTGCTGCTGCTGGCGACGGCGGCGCTGCTGGCGGCGGCGTAACTGCTGCTGCAGACGCTGTCGCTGACGGCGGGCGTTCACCTGGCGACGGCGATTGGCCTGCGAGCGGGTCACCTGGTTGTGCTCCTCCTCGTCGTCGTACTGATCCTCCAGCTGGAAGGGCTGATGGTTGCCCAACTGCTGCTCCTCCTCTTCGTCGTCCTCCTCATCATCGAGCGGTTCCGATTGGCGAGAGGCTGGGGCTGTGGTTGTAGGCGTGGTGGTGGGTGTGGTGCTGGTGGTGGAGGTGCCGGTTGAGGTGGTGGGTCCAGTTGGTGCAGTCGTTATCGTGGTGGTGGTGGGCAACACGGTGGTTGTGGGAGCAATTGTAGTCGAGGTGAGGCTGCCCGCGAGCCTGTCCAGCAGACTGCTCAGCTGGGAGGGGCTTAGGCGTCCTTGGGCGGCGGGCTCATCCCGCTGGCGGCCGAAGATCTGAAAGTTTTGGGGCTTGGCTGTGGGTTAGATGATAATGCGGTCCATTGCTGATCAGTTTTGAAACAATACCCCTGTTGGTAAGATCACCCACCGTTGGCAAAGGCAGCCAGGCACACCACGAGTAAAAGACCCTTCATCAAATGCATTTTGAGTTAATTATCCTTTAGCTTGGCTGGAACTGAGTATCTCTTGGATGGCTGAGCTGCTGTGACTGACTTCTTGGGTCGAGCTCCGGCATTTTTATATCTAAGTATGGGCCCTACATCGCCCTTCTTCCCTAGAGGTTACAACAAATGGACCTGTTAAAGAGAGGAGCTTATGCAAAAAACCAAAAAAGATATGTGTCAGCCGAGCAAATGAGAGGGAGCTAGTTTGTTTTCAGGCCTACGAAGAAAGGGCCAAGAAAGGCTCATTGGCCATGTAAGCGTTTTGCATAATGCCATAAATAATCGCATTCTGACCCGTAACCTCAGCCATGCGATCGATCCCCGCTAATCATTTGCATATAGCTCGCGAATCGACAACATTTGCATATTCATATTCGGCTCTGATTTCGGATACTCTGTCTTTAGACTGCGGCTCTACCACCAAAGGGCGAAAGTGGAGGTGAGGTGTCAATGAACCGCATAGGCAGTGACCCCCCGAGAATTCCGCGGGGAAAGACATTCGCTCGTTTGGCAACGAAAGAGTCGTGGATATTACAAGACTATGCCTAGTGCGCAGATAATTGGTTCTTCAATCTAACATCTTTGGTAACCCAAACCACAATTTTTCCCTTAGCGCAGAATATCCATTTAGCATGAGGTCCTGGTGTATATATATCTCTCTATATATGTATATATCTCCAATGATCATACAATTTCGTAATTCTTTGAAGCTTGCAGTCAAATCTCTAGGTATCCACAGTGCCAGTTCTCACTGAGGAATATCTCAGTGCTGCAATGAATGTTTGCCCTTCGCCATTCGTGTGCGTAATAATGAAAAAAAAAATGGTTTTGTTTTTGCATACAAGTTCGGTTTATTTCGGGGGTTCTGGGATCGGTTGGGGATCTGATCTGACCGGGATCAACTCCTTAGTTGCGACGTCCGCCACGACGACGACGGCGCAGAAGGCGGATGAGCCGGCGACGCTGCTGCTGGCGATATCGGCGCTGGCGCTGCAGCTGCTGGCGGCGGCGACGGTTCATGTTGTTCTTCCTCTGGCGCTGGCGCTGAGCCTTGGAGCGGTTCTTGTTGCGGCGCTGGCGCTGCGAGACGCGCCTGCGGCTCTGTTGGCGCTGGCGGCGCAATCGTTGCTGGCTGCGCTTCTCGGCTTCCCTTTGACGGCGAAGGAGGGCCCTGATCCGCTGGTTGTGCTCCCGCTGGATGCGCTGGATTCGGCGACGATTGCGCTGTTCCTGCTGGAATTGGCGCCACTGCATTTCCGATGGGCGGACCAATGAGCTGGACTCCGAGGACTGCTGCACGGCATTGCCGTTGCCTCCGGCAGACGGTGCGGCCACATAGTAATTCTCCTCATCGCCGTCATCGCCTTCGTCCTCGTCCTCCAGGCTGTCGTCGCCGTCGTCCTCTTCATCTTCATAGGCCCTGGGCGTCTCCTCATCGTCCTCCTCACCATCGCCCTGAATTGCGGGGAAGGCACGGCTGTTGGTGGCCGTCGAGCTGGTAGTGGGCGTGGTGGTGCTCGTCGAGGTGCCAGTGGATGATGTTGGAGCGGTTGGCGAGGTAGTCTCCGTAGAGGTGGTGGGCACGGTGGAGGTAGTGGGGCCGACCGTGGTCGTTGTGGTGCTGCCCTTCAACGAGGTCAGCATGTTGGCAATCGACGATGTGAAGCGGGCTTCCATCTGAGCGTCCGAGGAGCGTCCACCCAGGCGGTACACATTGCGACGTTCGGCTGATATCGAATATTTGCAAATGGTATTAAATATTTAAGGGACGTATATGCTATAGGAATTAGTTGCTTGACCCCTAAACTTGCAGTATGTATTATGGTGATGGAACAGATGTCAAGTACTGACTTTTTGGTACTAAAGAGTGACGAGATTTTTGAGGACTCACCCAAGGTAGCGGATGGGGCTAAGAGGGCGCAAAGGGCCACAGCCAGACTCAGTTGTAGCAGACAATGCATTCTGCAGATGGATTCTCCTTGACGGGATTATCGATCGGTTTCCTTGACTGGGGATCGAGGGTGCCTAACTCACTTGTTGTCTTTGAGTTTTCACTCACAACTGACTGACAACTGATGGACCGACCCGGGATTTTATACCCATTTGGAGGCCATACAGCTGATCGATTGCCGACATATTCCCCGCATCCCCATTTCCTTTTAGTTCCCACTTCTTGGCCAGCTCTATTAGCAAAAGTTCGCCCGGGGTCAAAGTGAACCGGGTCGCGGGTCAGAGGCGTACGAATTTTATGCTAATTTCTCATCTCTTTCGGTGAAAACCATTCTTCTATCCATCGCCGAGCAGCCAATGATTGATTGACGTCAAGTCGAGATTGACCCCCTGAATCTGGCTTACACAGATGTTCTGCGAGTTCTGTCACTTCTCGGTTGGTTTTACCGCAGTCGGTGCTCGGCATTTCCACCCCAAAGAATGGAATACTTAACTGAAGTCTTAAAATTGGTTTCGAATAATATCGAAATTTGATCAAAACTCGGTATTATTCATTTATACAGGGCTTGTGATTTATTGCTTAGTTTGGAGACAACATCTTTGCTTCACAATTACCCTAAAATAAACAACATATAAAAAATTATTCCTATATTTGCTATATATCATATTGTATTTATATAAATCTAATTGTTACTTCCTAGAAGTTCAATCTCATTATTATATTTATTTGGACTGGGCTCTTTTGACCAAAATTATCTGTGAATCCACCAAACAATTCAATTATATCGTCACTCTTAATTTCCGAAAGGTTACTTTTGATTACTATTTTGTTGATCGAACGATTACCAAAATTGTTTATTGCGAAGCTCTCAATTGTGTAACAAAATAAGTGTGCGAACATCTTTGAGTTCATAAGTCCATCTTGTTTAGCTTTATTATAAACTTCAAAATATACATTTTATTTTCAGATCGTTAATCTTACAAAATTGTGAGTTATTAATTCTAATATCATAATATATTATCATCATAATATATATCATCACATCGTATTGGCATTAAGAGACTTATAATGGATCTTATAGTTATAGATCTAAATCTATATAGTTAAAGAATTAACTCAAATGAAGACATCAAAGATACGAATAAGCCCAATGATAAATGCAGCATTTTCTACCAATTGGGGTAACCAGTGGTTTGAAAGTAGGAATGCGTATTCCTTCTATTTTGAATCATAGATATCTTAGCTATATCACTGCTAGAAAATGACGTACAATGTATAATAAATTAATAATAAAATTATACAGGTGAATATTTACCTTTTGCATAAGGATAATATGCGAGATTTTGGTATAACAGCATTGACGGCAACGCTCTTCAAATAATTAACAACTTAAAGATGCAAGACAATAATCTTAGCATGTCGGCTATTTTCACATTATACACCACCCATAAAAAATACCAAAAAAATATTTATAATTTTCATATCACATTTTATTTGTCGCATCGTTATCAAGTGTGTCAAAATTCTTGTCCTGATCGGTAGTGGATCTTAACTATAATACTATATAGAAATGGGTGTGGGACGATCTCCGTTTCGCGTCTCAACCCTGGAGGACGACCTGGCCGCGGCGCCTCTGGTTGCCACGCCTCCGGTTGCCGCCCTGGGGGCGGATGACGCGAACGTTGCGCCTGCGGTTGCCGCCCACTTGGCGACGCCTTTGGGGGGAGGGGCGGCGGCGGCGTTGTCGGATATTGTTGTTGATGCCCCGGCGGCGAATGTTCCTGCGTCCGTTGTTCTTGCGGCGTCGAACCACGACGCGATTGGCACGCTCCTCCTCGACTTCATCGGCGGTGGAGGCGGATCGCTCCATAAGAGCCACCACCGCGCCATCGGGAATGGCGTCCAGGGCGGCACGAGGCACCAGGAGAGCCGCCTTGCCGGTCTTCTCGTCCAGGACACTCTGACCCTCGATCTCGATAATGCCATCGGGCACCATAATGGCGCCAGCCTGGTCCCGGTTAACCATCATCTGCTTCTTGGGCAGCTCATTCTGAACCTGATCCTGATCCTGATCCTGATCATCGTCCTGTTCGTCGTCATCGTGGCTCTGCCTGTAAGCCAGACCGCTGCGGGCAAAGTTCAGGCCCAGCTGGTGTTCCAGCTCCTCGTCATCCTCCAACTCGTCATCGTGCTGATCCTGATCCTCATCCTGTAGATCGCCCTCGTCATCCTCCTCCTCGACAATCTCGAAGCCCTGGACGACGGCGCCGGCATTGGCCCGACCCTTGGGAATAGACAGGAAAAGGTAGGGGTGCTGCTGCGCCCTTTGACCCTGCACCTGATTCCGCCCCTGTACTTGCTGGAGGCGTGGCTCGGCCAAGGCCACGGCCACAAGCAGGCACAAGCCCACCACCAAGATAGCTCCCAACTTGGACATCTTGTTTCACAGATTTCTCGACGTAAAGTGCACAGAAATTAGAGATTTACTGCCGACCGGATCCTAATTGTAAGCAAGGCCCAAACAGAACTGTACGATCTGCGGCGGCGGCATTAGGTTTTTATGCGAAAAAGTTCTGGCCAAAAATCCAGCATTCGTAATCTAGAACCCACAGAAACCGAGAAGAGAGAGCCCACTCAGGCCAAAAGAACATTGGACATAATTGCGGTCGATGTCGGCATAATTTCAAGTGGCGAAATTATGTGAAAGAAATGTAGAAAATACTGAAAAATAGAAATAGAATTAGAAACGAAAGTCAGTGACCCGCCGGCGGGACAAAAGAAAGAGCGCTGTATAAATCAGCAGCCATCGAATCAAAAAGTCGAAGATCACCAAAGGCCCAAAAAAAAAAAGCGCGGCGGTCATGCTAATGACAAAACAATCAGAGACACGCACAAAACTCGCCATCCCATCCCATAAGACACCAAGAAACCCGAGAAGTCAAGGGCCGATCCGAACTTATGATGGACCTGCTCTCGGATTCAGCGACGCATGCGAAGTGGTCGTATCCCATCCCCGGCCACCGGTCATATACCCAATGTACAATGTGGATCTCGGATGGCACGGCGGTGTATGGTATAGGGGGTATGCCCGTGTATGTCGGCATCGCTGATTGATAGAGCCTCGTTGGGATAGAATTATGGCTTTGTCCCGTGATTAATAATGCCAGCCAAGTGGTTTCTTGTCCGGGGAAATGGCCAATTCTACAGGTGAAAAGACTGAAAGGTTGGTTGGCCAATAATTCACTTGCGAGCCCTCTGTAATTTTACTCCTTTCTTTAGTCTTCCAATGAATCTTTTATTATGGACACGGAATTTATTGCTTCTTGATTAAAGAACATTCCAACTGGTTTCAAATCTTGGACACATTGCAATATGAGCATTTTACAAGCACAGTTTTCAAGATGCTAAGGGCTTTCACAGTTGAAAGTCAAAAAGTATGCTAATGTTTCTTACGGAGACCTGATCTATCAAGATATTTGCATTTATGCTTAATAGCATTCTTATAAATCAAAAAATTATTGATATGCATTTCATTTACATAAAGATGCAAACTTTTCGCTATTACTTTCAACAATTCCAAATCAGCAAAGATGATTAAATATAGAAAAATACAGCAGATCACTCCAAAATCTAATTATCAAGGCCATCAATCTTTAGTCCCATTGCTTTGAACCAGATATTGGGCAGCAAATGGACAATGTCGCCACAGAGGCAGAGGAGCTCGTAGCCAACCACTGAAATGGTGGCGCCCAGGGTGGCGATCTTGAGCCACTTAATGCTTTGGCCACTCCACTCCCGACGGGCGAATCCCAAATTAAGGGCGAACCACTGGCTGAACGAGAGGAGCAGGAAGCCGCACAGACCCATCAGTCGGTGGGGAACGTGCAGAGCCAGGTGGGTGAAGTACATCAGGGCGAACCCACTGGCCAGGGTCCCACCGAAGAGCAGGAGGCCCAAGAGGCCACACAAACCATGTTTGGAACTAAAGTGCGGCTCGCGTGTCTTGCTCTTGAATATGCTCTTCAGGAAAATCCCCACCGATCCCAGCCAAAGTCCCACAATTCCCAGCACCATGTGTAGCAGATTGAGCCGCTTTCTGGAGATGAAGTCGCCCAGCCACCAGGAGTGGCACACCAGCAGAGATTCACCCATGCACAGAAACAGTCCCAAGACGGCGTACAGGGCGTGCTGGCCGCTGCGATGGTCATCCATTCCCGAGGCCTTTATGGCCACCACCACGGCTACTACGATCAGCAGGATGTGGGCCAAAAGCTCCAGGATGATCCTGTACAGGTTCACCCCGAAAACGGCGCCCAAGAGTGGCCAGGCAAACTCATAGAACACCAACTTTTCCGTGGTTCCGATCTCGCGTTGACTCATTTTCAGAGTAGCGTTTGTTAGGCTCACAGATTTCAGATATGTGATATGTGATATTGCAGTCATGGCAATACTGACTAATTTAGGCAAATAATTGAATGTAAACTGTTTGAAAAAATATGAGTGTTTAAACTTGATTGTTTCAGCTTTATCAATTTTTGATACCTAGCCTGAAACTGGAATATATTCTCTAATTTTTATTCATTTCGCTTTTTTGCTCATTTGTATCCAGTTGAAATTCTTCGGCAAAAAATTAGAAAGATCAAAGAAGTATTTATAGAAAATAAAATAGTTTTTTGCCTCCAGCAATTTAGGAAGTGTGCCCTTAATATATTCCTATATTATCTAATTCCATAAATATTCATATTGCAATAGAAAATTTCAAAATGTTTGCGTTTTTTGTAATGCTTGCAAAGTTATTAGGGAAAGACTTTCAACTTCAAAGTTCGGAAAGTACAGAGTTTGAATAACTGTTTTTTAATCTAGATCTGAAAATTGTTTTCTAAATTTGCGGAAACGCATAAATTAATTTCGTTCTTTTATGTGCTTCAACTTTTAACTGTGATAAACTGTTAGGCGAAATTGGGCCGACAAAAAATTTGCATATATGTTTGAAAGAAATTCGCTAACGGTCAAGAAGATATATTTCATAAATCCGCTAATTTAAAATCGATTTTCCCCCCAAAAAAAGAAATCCACCAGCACTTGGGTCAATTTTATATGCAAGCTTATTTTATTCAAGACATTCAAGAAGTCACAGTGAAATCCGCTTGGCAACAGGCCGTGGAAACTGCGAAAAATTTCTAAAATAAAAGAAACGCGAACTTAATTTCCATAAGAATGTGACGCAGGAGGAGTTCAACGGGGTCAGGCCTCAAAAATTCGTATTCGAAAAAGACAACGGCACAAAGAAAGCTGCTCTCAAGTTATGGTTTTCCGTTTTTTTTTTCGCTAAATCCGGCAGCTGGCTAATAAATTGCCCTATGTCCGAATTATGGGCTGGGCCCAATCGAGTTGAAAGTTCATTGCCCGTTCTTTCGTTCATCTACGTCTATAATTATATGGTCAAATGCGATTCGGCAGGTGCTGACCTTTTGCCGGGGGAATTTTTTACCATATACGAGTATCTGCACACACATCTGAATTGGTGAATACGAATTCAAAACTCTTTCTTCGGGCTTTTCTGCTTGACGTCCAGTTTCTTTGGCCAGCTTTTTGGCCACTTGCCTGAGCGTTAACCCCGGCCCGGCCTATTGTCGCTGGAAACAATTAACGATCGCCTGAATAATGCTGGAATAATGTTGTCAACTGGCCAGCTGAAGTGCTCGCATGCTGGCCTAAAAAATGTCCGCTCTTTTTTCGGGATGATTATGCAAATTTGCGCCTTATGGCTTAGGGCCCAAAATCGAGCCAAGAGTGTTGGCAGCTTCTCATCCCAACTTTCTGGGATGGATCGTTGGCTTCGGCTCCGCTTGACTCGCTAAACGTTGCCCGGGGTCTTCAAGCTGGAAAATAATTGGTGTGTTTATTTTTGTTCTTTGCCTTAACCAAAAGTCGAGTGTGCCGGCGAGAAACTCAAGTTTATCAATGCGATTATTTTATGCAAAACCTTTATGATTTCTTCGACCTTAAGTTTTAAATTAAACAGTAAATTATGACTATGAAGTTTTATCTAGGCCAGAACTGTTCTCCAAACTAATAAGTTTACAGGAAATTGAGCAAATAAGTTCAAATTCAATTCAGTGTTAGATGAAACTTTTCGATTATAACCTAGCCATGTATATCGTTTGTTATGCCTTTAATGCTTTTTTCCGCGTTTTTTGTATGGTGATATTGGGCTTAAAGCTTCTTCAAAAATTCTAGTTGCGTCTGAGTCTATTTAAGTTTATCACTATCCTTACTTGAGCTTAGCGATGAGAGTCTTCTGAGATCTATCTGATTTTGAACAACTTGCTTGCATCCTGGCTTAAGCTTAAAGCTTAAGATCTTCTTCGAACTTGCAAGACTTCCTTAAATACCTTGAAAAGCTGAGTGCTATAAAACTCATACGCAGTGTTGCCTTCGATTGATTTTACGATCAACTGGCAACTGTATCTACGCCAAATACCGTTAATCGGTTGACCAGTTTTGGGAATTAATCGGTCAGTTCATTATGCTTGACCCCAACAGCGAATTTCTTTTAACGCTGGTGGAATATTAATTAAGGCAAGGCAAAAAAGAGGCGTTCAAAGATGTTGGATACATATTTAAATCGGTCAACCGCACGGGTCTCAATAACGAGCCATCGCTTTTGGGGCTCCAGATCAGGTTTCTGGTCTTTCGAGGGTCAATGATCTTACAGATTTGAACTTTCAACTGAAGCCGAAGAAACGCTCAAAAAATCGTATGTTTAGGTTTGCTAATAGTTTTCTCTCTTTTAAGCCGGCGAAACTTTAACTTTTTGGTCAGGCATTAACACACGCAAAAAAAAAAAATGTAAAAAAAATTTATTTCTTTGTGGTTTTCACGAGGATTGAAAATCGTTTTGGTTTTGGTTTTGCTTGTCATATTTTTTCGTTATCTTCATTATTTCAATTCGAGCTCGTTTGGGTTCGATTTTTGGAGTGTTGTTCGTTTACAAAATTATGCTGGCAGTTTTCACTGCTCCAGAGGCTGTGGGTTTTCCACTTTGGGATTCTCCTTCTGGATCTCCTCCTTCTGGATCTCCTCCTTCTGGATCTCCTCCTTCTGGATCTCCTCCTTCTGGGTCTCCTCCTTCTGGATCTCCTCCTTCTGGATCTCTTCCTTCTGGGGCTCCTCCTTCGTCATCTCCTCTAGCTGGACTTCCTTCTTTGGAAGTTCCTCCTTCTGCATCTCCTCCTTGGGGAGCTCCTCCATCTGCAAATCTCCCTTGGGGGCCACTTGCTCCTCGGGAATATCCAGAGACCTGCCGCTCTTCCTAAGCGCGAATCGCCTATTTTGGGTCAGCAGATCGAAGTAGGGATGGAAATCGCCGTAGGACACATATCGGGCATCCCCAAAAGCTGGCTGAACATGTCGGGAGACTCCCGGCTCATCATCATCGCCAACCAAGATGAACTCCTGCTGCTCTGATCCGCTGGCTGCCATTTGTGGTGTAGAAGCAGCTGGCTGCGTGGCCATCATCTCCTGCTCCTGCTTGATCTCGGTGACCTCCATGGGCTTCTCAATCGCCTCCATAGCCGGGGCCTTCTCCACAATCGTTCCTGGACGAATGCGAGTGGGCAGCAGTCCAGTGGTTCCCACACCACCAGCCTTCACGGGCTTAGCGGCAATCAGGACGGGTTGGGCGGAGATGGGCTTGATGGTGGATCCGGAAGAGGGTGATCCGGTTCTGGAGGGCGGGATCTGGGGTGGCTGGAAGATGTCCATGAGGGAGGCGTCGGCCAAAAGGGGAACCGCCGATGCGGTCAGCTGGGGACGCTTCTTCTTCTGGCCTCCCGAGCTGACACCACCCCTCACTGGGCTAATGGCGCTCTGTGGAATATTGAGAATGAGGGGCTGTGCCTGGATGCCTTCGGCCAGAGAGACGACTGATTGCTGGTCGGGTGGTGAGAGGCCCAGCTGGCTCCAGGGAATGGTGATGTACTGGGTGGGACGACCTTGACGCCTCACCGGCACCGTCAGTGGCGGCTGTGGGTATGCACCGTTGATGGGAATCCTCTGTTTCTTCGCCTGACCCTGGACATAGGCGTAGGGATAGGGCGAGTTCAGGCTCAGCAGCTCGGGGGCCACGTAAACGGTCTGGCCATTGCGGTTCACCAGGAGCGTCGTCTGCTGGGGCCGACGGGTCTTGGTGGAGCCCGAGGATGATGCGGAGGGACCCCTGCGCAGCGTGGTGGCCAGTTCTCCGGGCGTTTGACCCCGGGTGAACTGCCTGATCTGACTGATGATGCTCTGCTGGCCGCGCTGGATGAAGTTGGGCTGATTCTGGCTGCGTCTAGTCGACGAGGAGCTGGAACCGAAGATCGGTTCGGGCTGGAAGTCCTGCTCCTGGCTATCGTCCTCCTGTACCTGCTCTTCCTCCTCGTCATCGTCGTTCTCGTTCTCGTCATCGTCCAACTCCTCCTCATCCTGCGGCTCCTCAACCACCGGCTGAACTGGCTTCTTCTGAACCTTGGGCTTCTTGTTCTGGCTCAGCGACTGGCGGCGCTTCTGGCTGACCACCTGCTCCTCCTGCTGGAACTTCCTGCGCTGATTTTGGCCCTGCACCTGGGTCTGTTTGCGCTTGGGCTTCTGCTGAGGACGCAGCTCAAAGGAATCGTCATCCTCAAATTGCTCCAGGCTTTGCTCATCCTCATCGTCGTCGAACTCCTCATCGAACCGATTGCCCTGGAAGTAATCGTCCTCGTAATAGTCGTCCTCGAACGAGTCCAGACGGTTGTTGAAGCGGTTAGGACGCTGGCGACGCCTGTTGTTGTTCAGGTTTCCGTTGCCATTTCGGTTTCCATTGCGAATGCCATTCCTCTGGGGACGCTGCTGCACTCGCACTACGATGTCTGGCCGCTGGGTGGTCGTGGAGGTGGTGCTGCTGGTGGTCGTGGTAGACTCCCTCACCGGCGTTTCCACCAAGCCGGGCAGCTGCTGTCCGGCAGCCGCCAGGCGATCATTGAACCAACCGGAAACGGAGCCGGCAAGCGTCGAGAATGAGGAGCCAAGCTGCTGTGCGGGATTCATGCCGAATAGCCAGGTTCCCGGCGACGCCGGAGCACTGGAGCCCGGTGTGACCGGTGCCTGTTTGCCCTGGATCTCCTCTAGGGAGGCCTGGCGTGGCTTGAAGGCGATCAGCGGGTGGATGATAAAGTCAGCCACCGTGTGGGGTTGTGGGGCCACCTGAGCGGACTTCTCCTGAGCCTCCACCGCCATTGGCGCTTCCTGGACAACGGGCGGCTTCTCCGTGGGCGTTTTGGGAGCCGTTGGCGCACCCTCTACGCCACCCGCACACAAATCACAGAAACAACAACAACAAAAAAAAAATGCACAAATAAACAAAACACACGGCACATGAAAAAAAAGAAGAGGAGAGAAACACAGGCAGAGATTAATGGAAATTCTAGGGGTTAGGGGTAGACATTGGATCCGTGGGCCTACCAATCAGCGCCATGTCGGCGATGGGCGACTCCGTTGACTGCTCCACCTCCGGAGCCTCGGTCACGGCGGAAACGGATGCCATTTGGCCAGAGGCCATCAGCAGCAGGCACATGCCCACCACCACGAACTTGGTCATGGTTTTTCGGGGATTTTCTTCGGGTATCTACTATCACGCACGCACTGGGATTCTCGACTTGTTGCGCTCTGGTTCTTAATCAAGCTCCCGATTTCTGGGGGTCCACAGACAGAGGTTTCGTTTGCCGAACTGTTGGGGGAGCAACGCGACCCGAGCTTTTTATGTGCCGTCTACAAACGATTTTGGCCAAAAGCCCATGTTATGCCAAAAAGAGCGACCGATCCGGAGCGAGAGAGAGTCATTCGGAGTCATTCGGTTTGGCAAAGCTCTCTCTTTTTGTTTTTGCCACAGGGGGCTGTAAATCAGTTTGCGGTTTGTTGACCGTTGGCCAAAGGAGACCGGATCGCAGGTCGCGATGCTAAACGGTTCGAAATATTTTCTGAAAACTAGTTCCAGTTTAGGGCCGTAAATATTATAGTTTAAACGACCTCGCCTCGACGAAACTTTCGTTTGACTCACCTGACAAGACATAAAATACTCTTCAAAATGTGAAATACGAAGAAATTTAAAGGTTATAAGCAATTTTAAGGAACTGCTTTATTAGGAAAAAAAATGTTTCCACAACTGCAAAGCTTAATAATAAGATGATAAGATAAGAAGATTTCTCCAAATGGAGTGCAATAAAAAAAGCCATTTTCTTGTACTGCAGTAAAACAATTAGCTTGATTAATGGATCGGATTTCCTGAATAAGTAATTAGTATTGGAGATTTTGATTGATCGCTGTGAAGTAAATTCCTTGAATTGACTAGTAATTTCCGCACAGCGATTTCTTTTCAGCGAATGTGGATTAGTGTGCTAATTTTGGGTATCTTTCTCAGACGCGGCACAAAAATAGAACTTTCCCTAACACAGTAACTTTCCAAATATGTTGACCCCGCAAATGATTGGGTGAGATGATTTGACCCAGCCGTGGGGCCAACTTTCTTCGCCATAAACCACAGTTCGCTAATGAGTATTTACGATTTTTTTATGCATTTCCATTAGCATCAAATAACTTGGCTGGGATCCCTTTTGCTCGGCCAGCCCTTCAAGCTTATGAATACATTGCGTTCTATTTCGCATAATTTGCTTATTAAAACATTTGTTTATGTCGCCCATTATGGGCGGCAAATATGTTTTCCTTTTCCCCAGACCGTCCGCGTCATTAGAAAGAACCTGCCAACGGTAGCTGTGCGAAATTTAAATAATTGCCGCGGCAATAACATAAATTAGATAAACCATCCCAGATGCTGGCAAAAAAACATGCAGCTCGAAAGGAATACAGCATATAAATTAATCATACCACCCGTGGTCAGTGGCCCGAATTTCGGAGTTAGTTAGGGCTGAGGAAATCGATTGGTCTCCGATGCCAGCCATTATTGAAGGCATTCAATTGATATTTAGCATCGGGAGTAGCTCGGTTTACCCGCTCCACTGAAAATCTGGCTCATTAAAAAATATTTTATATATGTAAGTATATTTGCAATATATTTTGATATTTTATACAAGTAATTCTGATACAGTCAGTTGTTTATGATCTTTCAGTATTTGTCAGGCTGACTTCTAAATGAACTATGCTCACATGATTTCAAGCAGTTTTAAAGCCAATTTTTAGGCGCATTTTTAAAAGCTATTTTAAGGCATTGATTTGCATTGGACCCAAACAAAGAGATGTTTATTGATTTAAATTGGCCAACAATATAAGAATACCAGAAACAGAGCAGACTCCCATAAATCGCATAAAATCGTAATCCCAACACAGCTAACCGCTTATAGTTCGATAGGTTAGCCACTTAATCTCTGACACTAAGTTGAGCCAGCTTTTAATGCGAAAGAATGGCGGAGAAAAGAATACATTTTGCACTATGGACTCGATCCACTTGATTGATTTAAATGCCCGTTGTTCGATCCGAATGGGGAACACATGCTGGCCAAAAAGTATCTTTGTATGTGCGGCAAATGAATGTGGCCCAAATAAGCCTCGAACTCTGACATCTGCGGGGAAGAACAGTGAGACCTCGCCCAAAACGGACAGTGACAAATGGAAGCGGTTTGACTTATTGAAAATCTCACTTTTGACCCCAAAATTGGCTCAAGAATTCGCCAGACGGTTTTGTACTTTTCCGTATTTCTCGAGGCGACCCAAAATGCAAATTTCTCGATTTCGGTTAGAGTCAACTGCAACTGGAAATGGAAATGTTTGCCATATAAAAGTCAACGTTCTGCGATCTCTGGGATGGTAGGGTTTTTGGTTCTCTGTTTTTCGGTTTTTTGGTTTTTCGGTTTTCTATTTCTGGTTTTTTGTGCATAAATCAGTGGACGGACATTTGCATAGTTTAATAATTTGCCAATCGTCCAAGACCCCTCCAATTTCGCTACTTTTTACGTTGTTCTGCTGCCTGGCCACCTAATTTCTTTTGTTTTTCGTGTGATTTTTATGTGTCTCCGCTGTTTTGCCTGCTTTTCGCCGGCCAGGTGAACGTTCCTCCCCTGTATAAAATGTCTTTGCCGGGCACTTGATGGACCATTTAATAGAGGCCCTCGTCCAGCGACAGACACAAGTCCAAGTCCAAGCCCAAGTCCACATCCAATCCAAGTCCACAAGAAGATCGCATATACCATCATTATGGCAATTAAGTTTGTAGCCCTTTTGGCCGTCGGACTGGCAATCTTTGCCGCGTGCGAAGGTGAGTTCGTGATTTAAGAGACGAAAAGAATTTTTGATGAACTATGTTCGCTTTTCCAATACCCATCATTGTCACACATTCTCTTTGGAATCATAATTAAGTGGCGATTATGAATTGATAAGTAGTTGTTATATTTTTTCGGAAAAAACCCATTTTGATAGTTCTTTGACAGACAGACTTTTTGCTGAATTACATGGTCTTTTTTTTGTTTGAGTTCACTTTTAAGATACTTAATATGATACGATGCAATTAAAGGTTAAACTCTTGAGAGCTAAATTCGTCAGTGTGAATGAGAAGCATGTGTGCTTATTTCCTAACCCCCCCTGTCTTTGTATCCCCTTAGCCCGCCATGTGAGTGGACATCATCGCAGGCAGCATTTTGAGCAGCGGGCCCTCATTGCGAAGCCACACAGTGGTCCCCAGGGACGAGTCTTCCCGGGCGCCGTGGCCATCAAGAAGCTGGTCCTGCTGAAGTTCAAGAAGATCGTGCCCATCTCGCTCATCCTGCTCAAGTCCAGCAACGAGAACGAGGCCGAGCTGGTGCCCGTCTATCCCACCGATCAGATACCCGAGAACGTCCAGTTCATTCCGACGCCCAATGGAATCTCCGGCCACAAGGATGTCCAGGCCATCGCCATTCCCGCCGAACTGCACGACCAGCTGCAGATCAACGGCCTGTCCAACCTGGAGAACATCGAGGCTCTGCTCCAGAGCAGCTCCATTTCGGCTGCCGACAATGAGGGCGAGGCCCCCGTGGGCAACAGCATTGCCGTGGCCCAGCCCGAGGATGTGGTGCTGGAGCAGGCAGAGAACGATGAGGATCAGCTGTTAGACGGAGCCGATTCAGTTGCCGCCCCTGTGGCCGCCGCTCCCGCCGCCCTGCGCCGCCTCTCCGCCGACGAGCTGCTCCGCTCCGGCGTGCGCAACTCTGTCCAGCAGCAGCAGACCAGCGTGGAGGAGATCCCCCTGCTTCTGTACTCCGCCAACGAGGGCGTCTCCTCCGCTGGCCACTCCGCCGGAATCTCGGGCCGCCGCTTTGTGGCCGCCGCTCCGGCTCAGCGCCGTCGCCAGCAGTTCTACAACTAGGATCTATTCATGTAAACCCGCAACCTATGCAACTTCCACATTCCTCCTCTCGATGGCTGTCACACGGGCTTCACTGTACTAGGTGTACTTACACACTACCACTGGCTATTCTACCTTTTTTTTTTTAGACTGAACTGAATATAAATTAACGTTATGAGCGAAATGACAAAAGGAGCGACTTGTGCTTCCGGGTGGCGAAGGGTCTCTCCCAGTGGGCGGGCCTAAGGGAAAAAGGGACACACTTGGAGAAATCGGAGGCGCAAAGTGGCGGCAAGTTGCGGTGTGTTGTTCTGCAAAAGAACACCTCACTTGATTGTAAGCTAAAGGGGTAAAATTCAGCCCAGTTTTAGCCTCATAATCATTTAAACATTCCTTTTTCGAGTGTACTCGAGTGGGTGGCAGGGCGCTGCTTATCAGGCGACTGCAGTTATCAGGCCTTTGTGCTCGGGCTTTGTGCCGCTGACGTGACAAGTCCTGTCTGTGTCTCGTTTCGTTCTCGGCCTCGTCCTCGTCCTCATCCTCATCCTTGGTTTCAGTCTCAGTTTCAGTTTCGGTGTCCCGATCCCAGTCCAAATCGCAGTCCCAAAGAGTCCTCGTGTGGCAGCCTGCCAGCAATTTTGAGCCAACAAACAAAGCAGCCACAAAACACATGGCACAAATTTTGCTTAGGCGCAAAAGTCAACGGCACAAGAGGCCCAAAGAAAGGCAGCCGCCGCACAACAAAAGCGCCACAAAGATGGGACACGTTAACCTGCCATTCTAATGTGGTACCACGAATAGAGGATGTCCTTAAGCACATGCCCACACAATCAATCCCGAAAATAAAGCTGCCGAAAAATGGGAAACTGGAACAAAATCTACCTAATACTAATACCACCAAAGTTTGGCTTTTAAAAATGTGAAAGCCAATAAGAACCATAGGAACCAGCCACAGTTCAGTTTCATAAGAAACAAGAAACAACTGGAAAAATGAGAACTTTCAGATGTGGCAGGGTATGAAAACTTTATTTCTTTGGGAGTGCATTTACCTATACACCCCGCACCCCGCACCCACCTCCCGTTCGCCCTGTCGTGTGTCTTATTTGCCGCATTTTTGACAGGATTCCCCCAAGCAACAAAGCCCCATCCCACGGAGATTATGCAAGCGCTTTCCGAATTAGCCAGGCGAAAAACAAACAAAACAAAGAGCCCTTATGGGCCAGACATACGCTAAAAATATTGCCACACTCAAAAGGCCTTCCGCTTTAAACTTTGGATGGGCACTTTTCTGCTTTCCCTTAAAGAAGTTTAGCGTGCAATCTTCATTTCATCGATATTTAAATGGCTATTTCCAAGAATGTGCCACTGCCCATATAAGCAATTAATCCCATTACCTCAAATCCCTACAGCTGCACAGAAATAAATGTTTTCTTTTGATTACTCGAGCATACTTTCGGGGCTTTTGCAATTCATATCAATGTTAAACTTAAATAATCTCCAAATGTAAATTAGGATAGGAAAATTCTCGCTAAATTTAATTTCGGGCTTCGTGGGCTTCCTTTTGTGTATGAAAGCATGTTTTATTGTCGAAAAAAAATACTTAGGAATAAAAGTTTCGTGCGATGAGCAGGTTTCGTCTGCTTACCGACCATAGTAGGGTGGTGGCACGTAGATGGTGACCTTTTTGCCGTCGCTGCCGCTGCCGCTGCCGCCGCTGCTGTTGTTATAAAGCCGCCCACAGGGCGGTGGTCCGTAGTACGTAAAGGTGCACACTGTGCAGCAGTTGATGGGCGTGGCCACCACCACCACGGGCGTCTTCTTGTTGGGATAGATCGGCGGGTAGGGGTAGGGCACGGGTGGTGCCGGCGGCGGTGGCGGTGGTGGTGGCGGTGGACGGGGCAGGGGTCGCGCTGGCGGGGGGTATGGTGGTCTTACCGGGACACAGCAAGTCTGTGGTGGTAGTGGTGCAGGAGGTGGTGGCGGTGGTGGAGGCGGTGGTGCCGGGTACGAGGGGTCCACCACGTACGTCTCGCAGCAGGACTGCTTCTGGAAGGCCTCCAAGGTGCAGGGTGAGACGCAGGAGTTGAAGAGTCCGCTGATCCAGTCGCTGATCAAGCTGAAAGTGCGTCCCTGACGCTGTGTGCTGTCGTACGGTCCGAACTCGTCCACCGATGTATTCAGCGGTGGCCTAGCCACATCCACAGCCCGGCCAGAGCTATCGGCATTTTCTGGCTGCAGATCTTCGAGGCGGGACGAGGAGCTATTGAAGTACACATACTCAAAGTTCTCGTTCGTCGAGGTGCTCCTGGTTGAAGTTCCGTTGGACGGGCGTGGCTGCCAGCGCTGCAAGCGAATCTTTTGCTGGGCACGTTGGCGAACTGAAGATTTGAATAGACAAAGGCAAATATTCGTCAGTTGGACAGACCATTTGTGCCAGTCTCTATACCTACAATATCGATGTGCTAGTATAAAATGCCAGGCGCAGTAAGAAGAGCTACACATTTACAGCGTGAAAGTGATCGTCATTTGGGATGTGCTAAACAGTGCTTAATTGTGGGATTTAAATTAACAAAATGCATTTTTATTTGTTGTGCTTTTTGTGGGGTGACAAAAAAAAGGTTTGGGTGAGGATTTGGAATAATAAAATCTAAAACTAACGGCCGTAGAATCCGAAACCGTCGTAGCCACCAAAGGCATTGCTGTTCGCATTGGCACCGCCGCCGCCGCCGAAGCCACCGAAGCCACCGAAGCCACCATTGGCACCGGCATTCGCTCCAGCACTGCCGCCACGGTTATTGGCACCAGAATTGGCGCCAGCAGCGCCTCCGAATCCGCCAGCATTGGCTCCTGCACCCGCACCACCTGCTCCTCCGCCCGCATTCGCGTTCGCATTCGCATTGGCCGACTGTCCATTCTGGGCGGTGGCGGTGGCGCTGCTGGATGCCGAGTTTGTGATGTATCCTCCGGGACCCCGCTGGCTGCTGGTCTGCGCATTCGTCTGGGCGGAGGCGTCTCCGCGGCCACTGTTGCCCTGGAAGATGCTCTGGCTGTTCGCATCGCTGGTCGCATCCTGGCGATTGCCATCGCGCACCACCTGCGTGTTCGTGTTGGCCGTGTTCGTTGCGGAGCCAAACTGGTTGTTGTTCGTGGAGGTGGAGCCGCTGTTCGAGGAATAGGTATCGCTGTTGCCCTGCTGGGTGTGCTGGGTGTTCGCATTCGCGCTGGAGGCCTGCTGCTGGCCCGGCCGGAAGTTGAGCGCCTGGCTTTGCGAGTTCTGGTCACTCTGGTAGCCACCGTTCGCCGTTTGGCCCTGATGGGTGTTTGTGTTGGCCGAGCTCACCTGGCCACTGGTGCCGTCCTCGGCCAAATTGGAGCTGATGGAGCTGCTGCCCGTGTTGCCGGGACTGACATGGTTATTGGACGAGGCCTGTTGCTGGAAGCCGGGGCCACCTTGGGCATTCGCATTGCCATGCGCCTGGTTCCTGTTGCCCTTGTTCTTGTGCTGCTGCCGTTCGGGCTCGAAGAACTCCTGCTCGTAGCCAGGGCCGCCAAAACCAGGTCGTCCAAACCCAGGACCTCCCCCGAATTCTAGGAATATATAGGTTACGGTTACATTATGATTTCGACAATGTGGACTCGGGTTGAGAAACTCACCTCCTCCAAATCCTGGACCACCGAAGCCCGGCCGGCCAAACTGCCTTCTCGACCTTTCCAAGAAGCCCAAGCCAGCGGGGCCAGGTCCGAATCCACCGCCAGGATAACCGAACGGTACGAACTGGGCCTTCCGCTTGGGCCGCCCATTCTGGCGCACCACTCGCTGGAAGGGACCACCGAAGCTCTGGGCATTGGTGGCCGCATTGCCGCCGAAGCCACCGGTGATGGCCGATGTCTGTCCCCTTCGCGTCTTGCCAAAGGCATTCGAATTGGCGCGCGTGTCGGTGACGGTGATGCCGCCAAACTGCTGGGTATTCGACTGGGAGTTGCTGTTCGATCCAGCCCTTGCGCCCTTGCCCTTGGCATTAACCTGCGCCTGCGACAGGGTGTTCGAGTTGGCCACGTTGCGGTCGAGGTCCAGGTTGAGCAGACCCAAGCCCAGGCGAAGATCGCCGTCGGCACCGCGCTGCAGTCCGAAACCATTCTGCAGATTCGAGGGCGACAGTGAGGCGCCGAGTCCCACGTTTCCGATGCGGAACTGATCGGCAATGCCCTGCGACACCTGGCCATTGGCATTCGTCCTGGTCTTGGTCAGGGTGTTGCCCAGCTGCAGACCGCCCAGCTCCACATCCCTCGTCTGGGCCTGGCTGTTGGTCACCACCCGCTGGCCATTCTGCCTGGTAACCGCTCGTGAATTGGACAGACCCTGGGTGTACTCGACATTGTTTCCAAAGTCCACCTGACGCTCGTAGGCATTCGTGTTCGCCTTGGAAACGGATCCCTGCCGCTGGCGGAACTGCTGGGGCTGTTGGTAATAAGGTTGTGGTTGGCGAAACACCTGCGGTTGAAACTGAGGTTGGCGGAATACCTGTTGCAGCTGTGGCTGGAATCCAAAGCCGCCGAACTGTGCCTCAGCTAAAAACAAGTTGGTGAGTAGAGTTTAATGGTATTTATTTATAGGGAACAACATGTTCGTCAGCAATCGTAGAAATAAAGACGTAGGATAATGCCTCAAGCTTGCCCAATAGAATTTCTTTGTATCACAGTGCGTATACGTAATATTTATTGTTCATACGCCGTGTTGTCGCACGGTTTTGGGTATCATGCGATTGTCTGACATTTCAACGTTTTGCTTGCGACTAAAGCGAGCGTAAAAAAGTGGTAACCAACATCAGTAGAAAGTTACACAAGTTGCCCTGACAGCAGTCAGAAGTAAACACAATTCCCCCAATGCCATGCATTTATAATCTTCTCGCCAAACTTGTTCCACACATTTTATTTTATTCTACTTTTCGACTATTGCTCACTTTTTTTATTTGTTAGATTGCACAGAAACGAAGGAGATGGCTGGTTGCCAAAAAGAGATGAAAGTGGGGATGATCTCCAACTGGTTTCTTTTAGTGTTTATCTCAACCTTATTGTTTATGTCAAAAGTAAACAGCAACAGGTATAGTGAAGGGAACATCTGGCTGCTCTGTCTTGTTCAGCAAATGTTTGGAATAGTCAAAGTCAATGAAATGCTGATCAGGTTCTTTTGTGTTTCCCATTTAGAACATCGATCTATAGGCAAACTTGAGAATTTCAGTCGAGAAAATCTACTTTCATGTGCTTATGTGAATATGTATGGGCAATCCGCTGATTCCCAATAATACGACTTAAAAGGCAGTTATAACATGAATAAGCCTTTAAACCCCCCCTAACCACTCCAACCATCCAACCATCCATCCATCCATCCATCCAACCATCCATCTCTTTCGAACCCATATTACCATCCTCTTTCTCCGTTTGTGAACGAACACATTCCCCTGTTTTTCTGTTCCTGTTTCTGTTGACAATGCAACGCACGTAGGCGCAAAATCCAGCGATAATTTTGCAATTATTGCTGTAATAACAAAAGGCACCGAGTATGTGTGCTTGTGTGCCTGTGTGCGTGTGTGCGTGTGTGCACGGGGTATATATCCTGTCATTATCCTGTCTATGCCCGATTCCCGTCGCCATGGCGTATTCCAAAAATATTTACCTTGCGGTTGACAAACTGCCAGCCAGCACACAATTAATCCAACAAATGCGTGTCGCATCCTGGCTCCCTGTGTCCCTACGCCGTTCGCCGTTCTCTGTGCACCTGCCTCCGGTTCTCGTGTTTTCCGTACTTTCCCGTACTTTCCGTACTTTACCGCACACCGAAAATCCGTATTCCGTTGCCGTACACTCGCTATCTCGCTCGCACCGCAACCCGGTGGCTAATTTTCCGTTGCCGTTGCGAAAACAGCGCACGCAATGAGCGCCTTTTTGGCGGCTGGTCGACTTTTATTGTCTCTCCGGCGTGTTTTTTGCGGTGTCGCTGTTCAGTTTGCTGTACCGCCTCCTCAGCTCTTCTCAGCTACTGAGCTCTTCTCTTAATGCACTGGAAAAAAAACTGAAAAAACGTTGATACCTTAGTCGGTAAGAAGATACTACTTCAATTCATGGAAGCCGTGGCAGCATTTCATTTTATATTAAGTTCGAAAACCGCGTACACATTTTCACATTCTTCACTTGTATAATGACGTTTGTAGTAAACTTTCTTTCCGTGTACCTCTAAGATTTTTTAGTTGTTTTTTTTTTTAACGCGTTTTTGGAGAGCGCGTTGGAAGTTGTTGTACGTCGGGCGTTTCGTTTCGTTCTAAGCCCGTTGCCGGTTTGTTAATCGGGCTTTAAACTAATCAGTAATTAACGCCCGGCTTGACGCCCAATCGTCAATACGCCTATTGTTCGATGGGACATACCCCCGAAATGAAGTGAAAAAAACAAAACCAAATTCACGTTTAACTCGTTTGGAGGGGGGGAGGGGGAACAATAAACAAACACTGATCACTTTTCGATGTTGGTTTTTTCCTCGTTCGATCACAAGTTCGAATGGGCTATAATTTGAAAAGGGTTCCCGCATCATTAGAGGTTTTCTCTTTTGTGGGGGATTTTTGGCAGGCGGAGAAAGGCTTACTGATTATCCAGGCATATATATTAATCCCTAAATGTATTCTCTATTCAGCAGAATAGAGAAAGCCAAGCAGTAAAATTTGATCAAAAGAAGAGATAAGCCAGTCCATTAGGCTAAATAGCATAAAGACATAAACATATTTTCATAAGCAAAGGCTAAAACATGTTTTAAAAATTTCTGAAACACCCTTCGTGTTATCTAGATGGACATTTTAACATAAACTATAATACTGCTTTGCATAATAGTTATTTATTTTGGTTTCCAATTAAATTTGTGTCTAACTTAGAAAATATGTAAAAAGAAAGGGCTTACAACAAGTGTTATTCCTCCTGGCGTGTTTGTACAAATCTCAGTCAAACATCAAACAATAAAAACGTATTAAGTCTCTGAATGACTCTCAATTTTTCTGGGTAAATCCCATCAACGACCTTAGCAAAAGTGTGGGGATTCATATGAATGCGCATAGTTTCGGTTTTGATTTCCGCTGAGCATCTGCGACTTCATGGTCAGGTTTTGAACTTCAAATGAACGCGCTCTAGGTCAATTTGTACCTCGTACCCCTTTTTCGAACATCTGCCACCCCCGTTTTGACCACTTGTGTGCCCCCAAAGCCCCCCTCCCGAAAATACAGAAATACAGAAATACAAAAATACAGCAGCCTCTTCATGCGGTCAGCAAACAGGCAAACAAATGGAGGCATCGACAAAAACTCGTCTTATCTCGTAACTCTTTTTTTATTTGTTGATGATTTCTTTTATTGACAAAAGTTTTTAGCGAGTTTTCGGGTAGAAGGGGCTAGAAAAAAACCCGTCCTAAGAACAACGTGTGCGAGTGTGTGGAATAAATTTGAGCCAGCAGGTTCCTACTAATGAACTTATAGATACTTAGATGTGTTTCGGGCGTTCCTCTTCACTTTATGAATAATTGCGTTGCTAATGACAAACAAGTCGTTGGGATTTACACTTTGTACATGGTTATATTTTTATAACAATGAATCAGTAGTCATCATCACTTTCGAAAAGTTTTAAAGACTTCAATTAGCTGGAACTACAATTTCAGTTTTTTGAAGCTGAAACTAAAATATGTACAGTATAGACTGCGGCTAAATATGTGCCGTATATTTTCTGTCTGATATTTTGTTTGCAAATCGAAATTACACTGCAAGAAACCAGCGAACGGTAACAACGACGAGGTCATAGTAAATTGGGTCAGCGCTCACAGGCACACACACACATGCAACTTTCCCCGGATAGAAAGAGAAAAGGCGAGTATGCGAGTGGGCGAGTGGGCGAAAGCGAGAGAGGACTAAACTTCAGTTCGGTGTTCGATATAAAAAATTGGGTTTTATTGTTATTTCATTTCTAGCGTTTATCGGTCTGGCGGCATCTTTACGCTGACGATTCCCACATCTAGCCCCCTCTCTTTCTGACTGAGTGCCCCTCTCTTTCTGGCCAGCTTTTATGGCTCCTGCCTTGAACGCGTGAAATGGAGTAGAAAAATTGTTTTTCTATCAAAGGCAAAATATCGCAGCAAACTCTCAACCCCCCTCCCTTCCGAAAAGTACCCGTTCCAATTATTTTGTTTTTGTTTTTGCTGCCCCCTCCTTGTTTACCCCTCGTTTTCTATCAATTTAATGCCCACAACTTTTCTGGACACGCGGCTTTAACTTTTTGTAACTTTTTTTTTTTTTTATATATGTTTTATTTTTGGTTTGGTTTGGTTTGGTCTCTGGTTTCTGGTTACGGCTTCCATTTCCCGATGTTCTTGACGCCACTTGTCCTTCGAACGCAACTGTCTGACTTTGATTTGTGCTGCTAATTGGAGTTTTATTTGCTTTCAAGTGGGAGCACACACACACATGTGGGGGAAGAGGGGTGAAACGGAAGGTGCAGCGAGCAGAGGTAAACGCCACACACACGGGCTTATTTGAATTCACTTATGTGCCGCCTGTAAGTGCTTTCGCTTTCGGGGCAAGTTCGATTTAATAACATTTCCAACTAATGTCCTAAACTAGAGTTTCTAAGCAAAGCTGAACCTGACAGCATGCACAGACATCTAGTTTGTCGGCTTTCTTAAGTTTGGTTTAAGGAAGTCAGCAAATATAGATTTAAAAACAATTGAATGCCAAGATGAAATGAACTTTGTTAAACTGCAAACTACCTGTTATGCTATTGCCCCAAAGTGACTATCCGTACATACATATATTTTGAGTAGAATTGATTGAAGTAAATATTTGCAGGCCCACCAATTTGAATTAATCAAGTAATTGATATTTTTAAAGAAAGTTTTTATCTGAAGTACACAAGGCATTGCTTTTTTTGTATGCTTTTCACACGATACTTTCTTCTTTCCGTTAACTGATGAGCATTTTATGATAATTTGTTTTGACAAATTTTTTAAGTTGCAAATTTCGTTAGCAGAAGTTTGTAGAAGCGAGATGCAGACGCAGACAGAGATACAGTAGCACTTGCGGATGCAGATACATTGTGCATTCGGTGAGCCATATGTTTGTCTAGAGTTGCCACGCACACATATGCCGCACATCCTGGTTGCCGCCCTTCGTTTTCGTCCTGAACGTCCTGTGTTTGCTTTCAGTTTTCTGCTGCCGCGTCTGCATTGCGTCTTTTGTTATTATTACATTTTCATAAATGCAAAAGATACAGAAACACACACTCGTTGATAAATTCAGCAAAGTTTTGTCTGCCATGCGGCTCGTTAGCTTTCCGTCTTGCGTCCTGCGTCCTGCGTCCTTCATCCTTGGTCTTGGTCTTCGTTTTCGTCCTGGCCCTTCCCCTTTTAATACGCATGAAAAATTGCCTCCAACTGCAGCGCTGAAATAAGATATTTCAATTTTGTATTGTAATTTCAAAACTTAAAATGTAATTTTTGAAGACATAAGGGAGTCCATTGTGTGGCACCCCTTTCCCATTTTTCTGCGTTTTGTTTCCTGCTCCTTTTTGTTCCCTTTTCCTTTCAACTTGCGCTCCTAACTTCTTCCGAAGTGAACGCTTGTGTCTGCCGGATAGATGGTTCAATACATATATATATGTAAGCCACACAGTCAACTGCAGTGAAAACAATATTTTCACGTTTACTTATAGTTTACTTATTCACAAGTCCATTGCATAAGTATATTTATTTAAAAGAATTGTGGTTGTGGAAGCTAGAATTTTCCGGCTGGACAAAAATGTCATGCAGTTCTGATTTAGTTGGGCCAATTTTCTCACTGTGTGTTAACAGCCCGTGCTCCTGCTTAACCCCCTCCAACCCCCAATTGTTGCTTCTCTTTGGGAATTATGCAAACAGGCCAAAAAACGACGGGGCCTTAGACAAGAATGAGATGTCTCTTCCATCTCCTTCCGCCGGACTCGGTTTTTGCCCTGTAATAAAGTAGCAGGCAACTGCACCCGAAAACCACCCACCCACCTTGTTATAACTGCATAGGCGGCACTTTTTGTGCCCGATACCCTGGAATACGTCGCAATAAATTTGCGTATGTTTGCGCAGGTTCGCCTGGCTGCAAAAGTACCTCATAAATATGGTCACTAATAGAACTCTAGCGATGTCTGCACGATAATAATACTAGATCTAATATTCAAAAAATAAAAGTCAGTATTAGTTTCCATATTTGATATCTTCCAATGGTAACATTTATGGAGTAGTTACAATTTTTTTCCAGTTCGCCACAGGGTGTCTTCGGGGTCGATTCGGTTTCACGAGCAACTGTCGCATTTTAACTATTTTCTGTGCGACGGCGGGCGGGAGTCGGTGGGGGGCGTGGCACTTGTGGGGTTGCCGCCTTAGGGTTGCCTGCACGGGCTCAAGTTTTTGGCAGCGCTTAAGAACTTAACACACAATGCCAAAATGTGCAAGCAACAATAGGAGGCGGGGGAGGAACGGCCACGCCCCCTGGCACAGCACACGCAAAAGTTTGCAGTAGTCACCGCTTTGGCCCCCATCCCACTCCATACCCGCGCTTTAACCCACTGAAGCCCCACCACTGGTGACAAAGCTGGCAGCGTCGTGTGTTGTAGGAAATGAGCCAAATTATGGCAAATTGTTGGCAAAAGTATTTAAAATGAGTTTATTTTCGAAATAAAAACTTCTGGTTGCGAACTTGTGGGCGGAACTTTTGCGGGCACTGGTGCGGGCTGCCACCGCTAGGTGGCGCACGCCAATGATGGCAATGGCGAACTGGCAAACTGGCAAACTGGCAAACTCGCATGAGACAATTAAAATGCCATTAGACAAGCAACTGCATAAATGAGTGAATCAGTCGAGCGGCCCGGGGCTAAATTTTCGAGTCGAGTTCCGATGAATCCGGCAAACTGAACCGCACCGAGCTCATCCAAATTAATGGCCAACGGAGCGTGGAAGCTGTCGGAAACCGATTTAAATCATCGCTGAATCGCTCGAAAATTAAGTGCGAATGGCGACGCACTGGGTATTGCACTTGCAGTGTGTTTTGTTTATGCAATTGCACACAAAAAAAAAAAACAACACAAAATATATAATTCCCAGTCTTAAGCTGTCTATTAAGCTTCAGCGGCGTACACATTTCAACTTATTCGCCCTTAAAACATCACTCAACTGCCCAATTACTTTTGGATATTCGCAGCCACAGAGCGACGCCAGCGAAGACAACTCGATGACAAACCCTCCATTTAGGGGTTGTCTTGGTGGCTAAAGACATCTCCCCAAATCCCGATCGAAATCCAGAAACAGAAACGGCAACAGAAACTGCAGACCACACAATTATGACTTG